AGAAAAGACATAAGTGCTCCTTTTTTCTGGTCAGGCACATTGGAAGTCAGATGGGAGCTTCTTGCCACAAGTGTTTACGAGGAGGCTCAGTGAAATGGGGATGTTCAAATTGATCCCGAGGACGTTGGCTTTAATGGCAGTGCAAAGGCAGACGGCTGCTGCTTCGAGATTAAGAAGGCCTTCGAGCACTGAACAGCATGGAGTGTCCGGAGGTGACCCAATCACTGCATTGACTGGCCCGTTGAGCAAGTTCGCGCAAACACCCAATTTGAGTGCGTCTCTTGGGCGGCTTCCTGTCGGAGACGGGGTCGGCTTTGGATAACCACAACTGTTACCCACTCGCTAGAGCAAAAAACAGGAGGTTGATGGAGAGGAACAGGGCAAAAGATGGTGAAGTGTTCTTGGATTGAGCCATCTTTTTTCTCACTGAACATGCACAATGGCCTGTATTAGGGTTAGGGTTGATGAAAAAAAGGATGAAAATGGTTGCTATATATAAGAATGATTTTGCATGGAGAGTCTCTTGAGATTGAGGATGAGATGAGGCATAAGATCTATGGATCTCGTGTGGGTGGTCAGGAATTCTTTTGCTGGCAAAGAGAGGAAGAGAACCTTCACCGTGCATTGATTTGGGGAAATTTTGTCATATATTCTACTTTTATCATATTGTCATATTCGTTCTGTATATCGATCACAAGAGTGGCCAATCACCAAGTTCAGACACTCCCGTGAGTTTTTCTCCAGAAGGCGCGAAGTTCAGATCATTCCGTTGCATGCGTACGTGGAAGATGCATGAGTTAGCATAGCTGGCAATTCCGGTTTTTCCACATTTCTTATTTTCTCCAATTATTCCATCTTTCACTTGTCCTTCTCTTGCTGAACATGTAGTCTTCAGGGAGTATTATTGAAACAGAGCTCTCTCTCTCTCTCTCTCTCTCTCTCTCTCTCTCTCTCTCTCTCTCTCTCTCTCTCTCTCTCTCTCTCTCTCTCTCTCTCTCTCGGTTATGGATAAGATAGATGGGTGATTACCTGTTTATAACTCTTTGGCTAATGCAAAGATGACAGGCGATCGATATGTCTAAGTAATACCTATGTTTGCTTGCTGATTTAACATGTTAAGTTAAACAATGATGATTGAAGAGATTTGTTACATGCATTGTACCGCCCGTTAGTCCAATCTACAATATTATACACAATAATCTTTTTAACAACCGGTAGTATTTGAATATTTCGGCTCAACTCATCCTCTCATATGCATGCGTACCATCCCGTTTATAGAGATTTGTTGTCAGCTAAACTCTTTTCTCTATGGGATGTAAGAATTCACTCGCAAGGCAAAGTGTATGACCCAAAAGTCACCCTAAACAGGAGACATTGTGATCTGAATAAAAGAACGATCACTTATATGAGTCTTGTTAACGAGTGCCTCCGAGACACTGGTTAACCATAATTATTTTTATTCCAATACATTGATTACACAAAACAAGGGAAAAATAATGTGCCGAAAATGACAAATTTTCATTTATTAAGGTATTCAACTAGTGTCCATGAGGCACTTGTTGATAATAAATACACTCTTACGTGGCTTTTGTTAAATAATTAACAACAACATGGCAATTTTGTGTGGAAACCTCACCAAAACGGCACCATGTGGTCAGGCAAAAATGACTATGGTCGTCCAATGAGCTTGTGAAACGACTTTGGTCAAGATGACACCATGAGCTCGTGATCTTCATCCCCGGCATGTTACTAATTGTCTGCAACAGCCTCACCATTATCGGCTTTGGGATCGCGCTGAGCTGCGTGTCGTCGAAGGCCCGGACCTCCCTTACGAAGCACTCAACCGGGTCTTGGACCCCCTCATGAAGGATCACGCGAGGGACGACTGCAAACAGGAAGGTCATGAAAAAGCTGCTAGCCCAGAAGGAGGCGAAGCTTATTAGGAAGTAGAAGAGGAACCCCAAGAGCCCCCCCTGTCGAGGCCCACCACGACCAAAGTATAGGCCGAGAGTGCAAGCGAGAGGAAGACTTAGGGCGGCGGCGCCATGAGGGAGTATAAGAGAGCTCATAGGATGACCTGAATTGGGAATTACTTTCAAAATGTGTGATTGAAAATGAAATTAGGGCTGAAGTTTGTTGAAAGAGGCTAGGGTTTTGTGAGAACAGTAATACAAACTAATTTGGGACAAACATCTAATGTAAACGACCCCGTTGGGTTGTATTTTTAAGGGATCAATTTTCTGGCGAGCACGCATCTAGGATCAGTTATTGTTAAGTTGGTTCTTCATGTGAAAATTTTGATACTTCTAGTATACTCTTTTTCTGTCAAATGCTTAAATGTACTCATCCAAATCTCTCAGGGATTATGCACGAGAAGTTTATAAAACATTTTCTGATGATAGACGATGTCTTTAAGGGCAAAACCTATTTCTTGTCCATAAAACAGGGAGTTTCTATTGATTGATGCAGCTTCTGCAAATGCGTGTATACGGCAAGTGTGAGTCTTTGACATATTAACCTTCTATTTCGTCGATACATTTGGGTGAAAGGGAGCTAGTTCTTCAAAGGATTCTAAAAGAAACAATAGGTGCTGAGAATAGATCAAATGAAATTGAGGATGGTTCACCAATTTTGTGCGAAGTTAAATAATCCTTGGACCGCTTTTCCTCTTTCCTCTCTAGGGTTTTCTCCTCTCCCTCTCACCACACAACTTTCTTCTTCAACTTCCATGGAGGGGATGGTTTAAGCTAGATCTCACCCTCCCCTCACATTTTTTTTTTAGCTGATTTGGTTATATGTTCTCCTTTTCTTGCTTTCCTCCCGTTTTGCAGAGCGTTTCTCTTACTATCTAGTCTAGATCTGGAAACTTCTCTCCCCTATTTCAAAGAGGTTTCCATCCCGATCTAGTCTAAATTTGGAGATTTTAGCATATATGATCTTGGGGTTCCCTTCTCTCGAGTTTCGTTGCTGTATATGTCCAGTTTTAAAGTAGATCAGATGAGTTTTGTGAAGATTTAACTCTTATAGGTGTTAGATTTGTGCTTGTTTAACCTTATTACTCTGAACGGCAACGGTGTTAGGGACGTCAAACCTAGGCGCGCATCGCCAAAAGGCAAAGCCGTAGCAACAGATGAAGATCTCGGTTTGTACTTATTACTAAAGACCGATTTGGTCATTGGCTGTTGATTTTGGTTTGAAAAAGTCATAGATTTGCTCTTTGAGCGGGTGACTCCTGACCTTGTTATGATTATTCATCTATCTGGAGCTTGTTTTGTTTTGAAGTTGTTTGGAATCTGTCTTGGTTTATAGTTGGATTGCGTTGCTTTTCCCTTGTATTTTTGTGGAAATGAATGAAATGTTACTTTGACAAAAAATAATAATAATCCTTGGACCGTATATTTTTTTAGTGCACACCAACTCATTAAAAGTTATGACACTAACACGGGAGTGGATATTCGTAGGACATACGACATCAAACATACCGAAAGCTGTCTTTTTCTATTTAATTTCCCTTTTTTCCCTTCATCTTCTGTCAATTCCTTTAAGATGTTTTATAAATTTTCCCCAAGAAAAATTTGATGTATAGGATCTTAGCATAGAAAATGATAACCTTCCGTTTCATGCCGCGTCAATCAAGGTTGGAAATAAAATCTCGCATGCGTTATTAATGGAAACACGCATTAATCTCCGTCATGGAGGCCTTCAAATTCGGCTAGCCCCCTATCCCCTACACGCTAAGACAAATGCAAAAATGGAAAATGTACCGAGCGAGTCGTAAGACCAACCAGCTCGGATCAACCAAAGGAACTTCTTTAATCACTAGCATTAAAATTTAATTAATCCCCATCACCAAATCAACATCAAACTTGTTGACTTAATCGCACACCGATGCCTCTCGCTTCCAATGTTGCAAAACGAAAGATGGCTCCACACGGGGGGAATCGCAGGAAAGTTAAGGTGGTTGGGACAAATCTCTTCGACATGACCTAATCTTCGGCATGACGCGGATCGGATTATGAAGCTTCATTAGGATTAACAATGGAGGTTAATCAGTTCTTTGAGCACTCGTGACACTTGCTTCCACCAAGAACAAGCCAACATAGAACGACATTATTAAACGGTTGCTGCTAGCTGCAAGGGACAAATTTCCGCCAAACTGTTAAGCGCATTTTGCAGTTTATTCTGTGTTCTATGTACAACGAACGGTGCCATACTTTTTGCGGACCAGATAAAGAAAGGACAAGTTTGGAGCCTTTTGCGCGCATTGAGGCATAATTAGGCTATAAACACTTACGAAATTACTTATCCTAGGCATGTTTCATTGTACTTAATCATGGAGAGCCAAATTCGCTATCAATTTCGTTTCATCACCGAAATTTAGTTACGATGCGAGTTCGATTCGTCTTTTGGGGACATGAGAAATTCCCGGAGTAATATCCGAGCTTACAAATCAACGTCCATTTCATTGAACAGTAGAATAATTTGCGACAAGCATTATCCCAACGGATTAATGTATTGAATTTTTTGACTGGTTGCATTGGTTGATTACATTACATTGATTAGTGTTGGGAAATATAAAAATGGACCCTATATATGTACACCTTGTCTCACCATATCGTGCATGGAATAGGAAAAACACAGCTAATATCATATCCTTCGATGTATTTCATCAGTCAGATCAAGGTCTCAAACCAAGTCAAAAACAGATCAAGAAACCAATAAATCAATCAAATACTAGAGAGAGAAAGGAAAAAAATTGGCAATTTTTCCCACAAGATTAGAACCATCCAAAAATGTCACGAGGAGTTGCTTGTTCCGCCAGCTAAAATCCCTAAAGCCACCCATGTGGACGTACTATACGCACGCAATATTTTAGGTCACCGCTAGGGCAAAAATATTTTCTTCTAAAATAAATATTTTCTGTTTCCATCGACTCAAACCCATGCCCCTCCTTGAAACCCTATAAAAGACCACTTCCCCTAAACTCTTTCTCCATCCCAAAACACTCATATTTCACTAGCTAATTCCAATTCCCCACTCTCAACAACAAACTAGCTAGGGCTTCGAGAAGTTTTCATACTATGGCTTCCAAGAGCTATGCAACACTTGCTCTAGTTCTCTCTCTCAACATCATCTTCGCCTCCTTGGTCACTGCATGGCCACCAAAGCCGACCCCGACCCCCACGGTTTCTTGCCCTAAAGACGCCCTCAAATTAGGCGTCTGCGCCGACGTATTGGGTAGCTTGCTCAATGTCACCGTCGGTAAGCCTCCGAAGGAGCCGTGCTGCACTCTCATCTCGGGCCTTGTCGACCTAGAAGCCGCCGTTTGCCTTTGCACGGCCATCAAAGCTGACGTTTTGGGCATTCACCTTGACGTTCCGGTCTCTCTCAGCTTACTCCTCAATGTTTGTGGCAAGAATGTCCCTCCTGGCTTCCAATGCGCTTAAGCGTGAGAGGTCTCAATTAATGTGAGTTTGAAGTCCTTTGGATTACGCGAGTGAGGTGCGATCATCAGATGGTGTTGTCAAAGTGTGGTTTTTTTTTTATTGTTACGAGTGTTTTGGGTGGTGTACGTTAAAGGGCTAAGTGCCTAAAGTGCTTGTCGAGTTTATGTTTATGGGACGATGCTTATTAAGTTATGTAACTCCATGCAAAGTAAAAAAGAAAGTTGTCAAAGTTGTGCTATTTCAATCGAAATAAACACCTTCTCTTAAAGACCACACTTCTTTTCCCCTTTCCAGAGTTGAGATACCATGCATTTTGGTGGGCGGGGATAAAAACCTCGTTGGTCTCTAAACTACCGATCTCAGGTGTGTCTACAAAGTTTCCAAATAGAATCAGAATCATAATTAAACGACGTCACCAACAAAATTTGTCATATAAGACAAACTGGTAATTGGTGTTAAGCTGGCATATGCAATACATGCTTACCTCGTTAATATAAAACTTTAAAGTTGGTGGATGAATATTTGATCCAAATTTGTTTAATCTTTCTGCATGCCGATTACCAATAATTATATATGCATGTATTTATTAAATTTTCTTGCAGAGAACAACATAATGAATTCATTCACGGGCCCCTTCCTCATCCAAAGATCCGATTACGTTGGTGGTGGCTGACGAACTTCACGAGATTGGCAGTTTTTGAGTTTTCAGTGAAGAATTTCAATCTATCTATAGCTTCTGCAATTTGCAGACTTACCTCCGAACGCCACCATTGTCATCTCGGGTTCCTTCATATCACCGGCAACCACCATAACTTCGCAGTCTAGAAATAGGCGAATATTATGCACGCACGATGTCGGTGGAGGCAATTTGTCGATGACTCGATGTGGAGAGGCTCGCATGCACTCCATCACAAATGTTCATTCAAGGACACTCGTGATCATACGCTTAAGAGATGTTTTGATTCTAAATCGGACCTCAAATCCATCAAAAATGGGTTTGTGTGGCTTTCTGTCTCATTCCTCTTCTAATACGGTCTGTATGCTAGAGTGCGTAGACAAAAATCAGACCTCATACATGAAATATTTGAGAAATAAGCTTATGAGGATAATGAGCCGATATTATCTTTCGACTCTACTAGCTGCCACTATGGCCACCGTTTCCAGGGTCGTTGCCCTCGATTCCTTGCCCCTATCAATCTGTAGGTCAACTTGCTTTAATCTCTGTCTCCTCTGCATTAAAGCTCTTTTACAGTGCCCTCTCTCTCTCTCTCTCTCTCTCTCTCTCTCTCTCTCTCTCTCTCTCTCTCTCTCATAAGGTCGTCGATGACTGACACTGTGGCAACCTTCGTTTGAGATTGCTAACGACCATGGTGACCTCAATTCAAGGTAGCCATGTTGAAGGGAGGGTGGGAGAGAAGGAGAGAGACGTAACGGGGACTTCGGGAATGTCGGAGGCAGAACATAATCAGTGGCGAGCTGCACGAAGGCCACAGCGACTTGACGATTTTGCAGCTGCGATGGCGGCGGCAACACAAGACCGTGGCGGCCAAAGACAGGTTAGATAGGATGGTTAGGGTTAAGGTTTTCTGTTGGGGTCTTTTGGATGATTGTCGAACTTAGATTATTGTAAGGATACTTTGGACAGAATAAGGATGATTTGTAAATAAATCTTGAGTATTAACTTGTAGGTGCAATTTCGTCTGTAAAAATTTAAAGTTAGATTGCAAACTCGTGACTTTAGAAATAGAGTAGGCAAAGTGATAAATACTGGTAGAAATTTCTATATTTTTCTTTATTTTCTCTTGTGCTGGGTCCACATTCCCTAAATATATTGCCTATGTGACATAGGAAAGAATTGGGTTGAGCGACTAAACTTTCGAGTGCAATGTCATCTTATCTTATGGTTCCGTTTACTTATGGGTTGACAATTGACATTGCACTTCAATTCACAATCAACTTATAAATAATGTAGGAGATCAGAAGATTCATTTATTAAATGGATCAACTAAATAATTCGACAGATTTTTATTGGGTGTTTAAATCGGCCAACTAACTTAAATAACCACTTATCATTTGCCACTTTATTTGAAAAACTTATTTAGTACACGAGTCATAGTGGCTCTAGTAGTACTTGTGAACTCGTGATGGCATAAAGCCATGCTAATGGTTGATACATTTTTATAGATGACCAATGCACGGTAAGAAATTTTGATATTGTAGTTGTTGTATCCTTTTATTTTAGAAATCGCAACCGCACCGACTTAAATGAATCGTTGGATGGGTTAGGACTCATATATGACCCATCTGATCCAACGGTGCATGTCAGATGCACTAGGTACTAGTAATACCGGTTGTGAATAATACCTGCTCCTCTTCGTTCTCCGCATCTCGAATATGCTGAATTCAGTCCCATCTAACCACCATTTTTGCTTCCCATGAACCATTTTTTGGCGCATTCCAACTTCCTATTAGCGAGCATATACGATTCTCAAATGATATAAATCTATAATAATTGCGCTCCTATATATAGGAAACAATCAAAGTGCAAGATATAATAGTATTTTTCAATATGTACGAAAGGAGTAATGTTTTGCCCCGGGACCCCGGTCAGGTTGTCCTCGACAGGTATGTGCTGTCATTGAATAATTGTAGTTTCGTTTGTAAGTCCTTATTTCTGCGTATGGAATATAAACATCTCATTACCTTATTATGTACATATTGTAAGAAAAAAGTATGCAGTACGTCGCACGTTAATTTATTTTATTTCGCCACAGATAACATCAACATTCCTCCACATGTTTTCGCAAAAATCCTAAATGCAAATGCTAGAGCTTTGTCACGAGATTTCATAAACACAAAACCTCCTCCAAAGCTCATGCACAATGCCCTAATTAATCTCAGAAACTGTGCTGTGATCTTCTATTTCCCAGACTCTGTGCAAACTCTCTTATCTTAATTGTTTCTCCAGTGCTCCGTTTGCCAATGTTTGATCTTACTGCTCTATCTTCTTCGTCTTTGCAGATTGAATCCCAACTTACAGGCGAGGAAGTTCGTCCAAATTCAATGAAGAGTTGCAGAACTTCGACTCGTCTCATGTCATTAATAAATCTACCAACAGAAACTTACGTCTATCCTTCACTTTCCGTCTCATGCCAATCGCTGCTCTTCTTTTGGCCCTCGAGGACACACGGTTCCTTTTACCTTAACCAATCTTTATCGACTAAGTAAAATGTCGCTTTGACAGTGGCAGACGGATGAGTTCGCATATACTAATTCAGAGTAAGGATTCACTCTTATTTCCGAGGTATTGAGCATGTAGCATGGGATCTTTTGCAATCTCTAATCTTTGGGGAAAATAACCAAAAAAATCCTTAACCTATTGCACTTGTGCCAATTCAGTCCTAAATTTTTTAATTGTATCAATTTAGTCCATTCGACCAATTTAGTCGGAATCAGCTAACGTAGACATCTGTCATCCTACATGGTACGGTTGACGCTGACATGGGTAAATTTTTTTTATAATTTTTTGTTTTCTTTTCTTTTTTCTTTCTTTCTTTTCCTTTTTTCTTCCAAGGTCGGCAAGGTTTGCTAGCCAACCCTCACCGGTCACAAGCGAGGGCCAGCCGACCCTTGCCAGCCACTAGGTGAGGGCTTCGCGGCCCTTGCCCAGGGGCCGATGACGTTCACCAGCCCTCGCCTGGGGTAAGGAAGGGTCGGCTGGCGATCCTCGCCAAACTTGGTAGAAAAAAAAAAGGAAAAGAAAGAAATAAAAAGAAATTGTAAAAAATTAAATTTTAAAAAAAAAATATAAAGGATTGTCCATATCAGCACCGGCTGTCTTACGTCGTACTACCAGTGTCTACGTCAACGACTTCCAACAAAAATTGGCCAAATTGACTCAATTGGCAAAACATAAAAAGGTTTAGGACTCAATCAGCACAATTGAAAGATTTATGACTAAATTGGCACAAATGCAATAGGTTTATGACTTTTTTGATAATTTTTCCCTTATCTTTGGTAAGATGGGTCTCCAAATTAGACATCTGTGAATACTAACCATCTGGAATTTTTCCATCTGGAAAAATGGGTCGGGTCCTCGACACACAATATCAACCATCTGAAATTACTCTACCCTTCGGCAAGGTAAGTAGCCCCAGGTATGTTTTTATTTGCTTTAGCATGCATCATCTTATATCGCATCATAAAAATGGGACTCCGGTCTCGCCAAAAATAACATTCATTGAGCATGCATGGGCCAAATTGAGGTGTCATTTTATCTTTGAACGTAACCTCTGCGAGCTCAATCTCTGCGAGCTCACCTTCAAAGAGGGGCAGCTGTTGACACCTATTTTTAATTTGCCCAAAATTAATTGCACAAAATTAGAAGTTAATTTTCTTTAATTCCTAAAACAAAAAATATTTCTATTTAAATTCATTGCATATAGAATTTAGGCACATTTATATTAATAGGGTTTGTTAGAGTAAAATTTAAAAAAAAAAAAAAAAAACGAGTCGGGCCGAGTCGGGGCTGGGCCGACCCGGCCCTTTTCTTTTTTCTTCCTTTCCCCCGGCGTAGGCTCGGCCCACTTTTCTTTTTCTTTTTCTTCCCGCGCGAGCTGGGCCCGGCCCGGCCCAGCTCCCTTCCTTCTTCCCCCTCGCCAAGCCGTCGTTCTCCTTCCCCCTGTTCTCCTCTGTCGCTGACGCAGAGGCAACGAGCGGCTGAGCACGGCCGCCCCGTCCCCATCCGGCCAGAGCAGGATCGGGGCAGCACGCCACAGGGACTGGCCATTAAGGCCAGTCCCTTCTCCCCCCGTTTCCCGGTCTCTCTCTTTCTCTCTCTCTCGCTCCTTCTCCTCTCTGTCTCTGCACATTGAACGGCCCCCCTGCTCTGCACCGGCCTACCATAGCCACGAAAGTCGTGGGGTGGCGTAGGCCGGTGCAGGCCATCGTCACGCCGACGCGGCCGGGCCAGACTCGTCGTCGTCGGCTATGAAAGACAGAAAGAGAGAGAAAGAGAGGGTCGGCCATTTTAAAGAAAAAACACAGAGAGCGCGAGAGTGTGAGTCGAGAGAGAAAGGGAGCTTCCGGCAGTCACCGCGCCTCAGCTTCAGCCATCCATCCCCACCGCCGAGCCGACGGCAGCGACACAAAGAGCCGGAGAGGAGTCGGTCCGCCGTTTTACGAAAGAAACAGAGCAGAGAGAAGCCGGGAGAGAAAGAGAGAGATTGAGCGAGACTGAGAGACTGAGAGCTCTTCCGGCAACCATCGTGCTCGTACCGCGACCATAAAAGACCAGAGAAAGAGAGGAGAGGAGTCGGTCGGCCATTTTGAGAGAAAAACCGAGAGAGAGAAGAGAGAGAATAGAGAGAGAGAGAGAGAGAGAGAGAGAGAGAGAGAGCGCGCAAACAGAGGTCACGCCGGAGCCAAAGGAGAACCAGCAGTGGTCGTCGACGTCCCCAGACTAGCCGTAAGCCCCTCAGAAGCGTCGCCAACCAGTGAGCCCCCGGCCGAGAACCGCCTCTGTTTTCCCCTGTTTTCCGGCGTGGTTGGGCCGGGACTTGCGTCGGCCGTTTCGCGCGAATCCCGACCCATACCGACGTCGGTCCCGGTCCCTGCTCACCGTCTGAAGCGAACCCAAGCCGCTGGAGTCGACTGGATCGCCGGAGGAGGTCGGAATCCTCCGTTTTTCCATGCGCCCGCCAGGCGTTCGACGAAATGCCTCAACCAGGCTGGTTTTTGTTCCATCGCCGGCCGGCGAACGGTGGTCCGACGGCGGTTCAGGTGAGTGGCACAGCTCAGAGGCGGTCCTAGTCGGGCGATTTGGGGGCGGCGCTGGCCTGGGTCGGCCGGCGATCGGCCAATTCTGGCTTCGCCGACGCCCCTCTCCCCGCGGGTCTGTGAGTTCGGGTCGGATTCGACCCGAATCAGTAGATTCGACCTGGGTCAATGCCCAGGTCGGATCCGTTGACCCGGGTCAAACCTGACCGACCCGACCCGGTCATTATTATTTTAATTATTTTTTTTTAAAAAAATAATAATTAAAAAAATTTTAAAAAAATTAATTAGTTTTAAAAAAAAATTAAAAAAAATTTCTTTCTTCTGTATTTTTCTTCCGAAAAAAAAAATTTTAATAAAATTTTTAAAATTTTTTTTTTGTACTTTTTTTTCTTTTTCCCGAAAAAAAAAAATTTTGGGGTTTATCTAAGTGTTTTAATTTATGGTTGTATTATTATGCATGCTGTTATAATTGCATAATTTACCATGTTTAAATTAGATAAGCCTAGGATTGCGCGGTAGTATTTTGCATGTTAATTTTATTACCGTTGTGTTATTATGCATGTTTTTAATATAATTGCATGAACTGTTGTGTTTTGAATATCATCTGACTTAGTTAAAGTTGGAACCTTCGGCTGCATGAATTATTGTGTTTTTGACTGCTAATCGTTTTTGATTATGCACTCGCTTGATCACCTCACATGTTAGGAGAAAGGTCCTAGAATCAATCCAAACTGCCTGATAAATGTTTTAAAAAATGAACAAGGTAAAATGGTACCGAAAGGGCATTAGTTATCCAACTAGTGTAACCAAGTCCCCGAACTCAGTTAATTTCTGGTTCGTAGGAATAGGGTGATTCTCCCATCACCCTATTTGGGTTTCTAATCGACCCACCCCAAATCGATTAGTGGCGACTCCTCGATATAAACCACTTGCATGTTAAAAACTTAAACCCTAAATCGCGATATGGTATGGGCTTGGGAGAGTCCGAGTTAAGTCCCGAACTTAGACTTAGCACGTACCAGGCGAGCCCCCCTTTTTTTGCATGTTTGATAAAAAAGGGCTCGGGAGTTCGGTCGCGACAGATCTGTTTACTCGGCAGTTAGGCCTATCCACTCGTAGTTTTTGCAGATTTCGATAGTATAATTGTGGGCTCAAAGCATCGAAGCGCAATGACTGCATAGTCACTTCATTTATTTTGTTATTGCTAATTAATAATGATGTAGTTTTTAACGATTTTGGGACCACGTACCTTATTTATCGTTATTTAGTGATTATTCGAGGCTATCTAATGTGCTCTATTCAGAGCGTTACAAATAGTATCGGAGCAACACGCCGGCCGGAAGTGTAAGTGCTGCGCAAGACAGATTTCTACACCTTGGAACTGGAAGCCACATCTTGAATCCATTAGGGATACAGCGGAAGCCACCTGTTAAACTCATTTTGGACAAACTGCTACAAGGTGACAGCAACCTCTTAGAACACATTTGGGGCAGTGTTATATCACGGGAGAGGCAAAGTGTTATATCATGGGAGCCACCTCTTGAACTTATGAGCGGTGACTTCTAGAATCTTACTTGCCCGGTATGGTCGTGGGCTTTGGGCTGACAATTGGCGAACGATCTTTTCAAAGATGGAACACAAGAAGTAGGAGTTTCGCCCAATTTAGTTGTGACTTGGAAAGTTAGTTTTCGTATTTTTGAAGTTCATAAACAAATTTTGAGATAAACGTAACTTATTTTTTTAGGATTGATTCTTTATCGGCAATTTTTAAGGATCAATACATTGCTGATTTTGGAAAATGATACCGAGCAAAATTTCGAGGACAAAACTTATTTTTAAGGCGGTAGAATGTAGTATCTCAATATTTTATGCGAGGAAAATAATTAGGATTCAATGTGTAGCTACTTACTATGTACTAAGGAAAGAAGTGTTCATATCCTATTAACGTTCCATACATGGAAGATAAAAATAACATAATAAAAAGGTTCTTCCAGTGGTGCTTACAAAAGGGTTTTGTAAATTGTTATTTGTTTGGAATTTGATGATAGAGTAGTTATTTGAGCTTCTTACAACATTCAAACCAATCAATTTGATGAAAGTCGAAATTGTTATGTCGTATGTTGGTCATGGCCTCCCAGACTAGCTAGAGTACCAAAACTTTCTTTCTCATCGCCACTTTTCTTTTCTTTTCTTGAACACGTTGTTCGTTCTCCTTTCAGCTTTCATCCATGGCATAGGCATGGTATTCCATGTGTCTAAAATTGACCTACCGACAAACCTTGGAAAAAGCAATTGTACGGTTTTGATTCAAGTCTTTCTTGTCAATTTTAAAAGTGCTTAAATATGTAGCGATGATGTTGTGAAAGATTTAATAATAATAAAAAGGTTTGGATGATAAGATCAAACTATTAGTGAACTGTTCTTTTTCCTTAATAATGAGAAATTTCCCCCAATCTGAAGTCTGAACGAAGCTGCAGCTAGAAACATAATGTGCAGCCCACAGCATAGAAGTTATGATAGTATAATGTGATTTAGTAATGAATTAAGGTTGTCCATTGAGTTCCATCCTGGTCCCACACTAGTTAGCCAAAGAGCAGATATGGTCAATAGTAAGCTTTGGGCTTAATTTGTGGAGCTGTAAATGGTTAATTAATAAATCCAAGAGTGAGTGGGATTAGAAATTTACTAATCATTTGCCAAGGTAGTGAAGCAAAGTTATTAGTTCGATTTACATATCAAAGCAGATGATGTAAACTTGTAAATGTCGAATTATATATAAGATGCAATCCATATTGATATCATAATATAGAAAAAGGTAACTCAAATATTATTGGAAAACACTGATTTTCTTTTCCAAGTGCGCAATGTATATGCTGCTTATTTTGCCAAATTTATTTTCCATAATCCTTTAAGATGCTAAATTTCTCGATAATTCGATTGGATGACTATTTACCTTGAAGCTCGTCTCCATATTGAATAACAATCCTAGTCTACGATGAAGTTTTATTTGATACACAGCCTTTATAAAAACCAATTCGCGCAATCTGTCTCGGATTGGTAACATGTAGCATCTTAAATCGCTCTATAAAATCCAAAAAGACACGTTTTGTGCATCTAACATAGCATGTATGAACTCTTTTCTCTTTCGCGCGGAGTTGCAGACCGTGTATCATATATAAAACCGCATGAAATCTCCTTAAAACAAATGAGGCTATATGATAAAGAAGTTAATGAGGACATTGAATATAGGAAGATGAGTTTCCTTTTATTTTATGACTTATAAGAAAGACATCAACATAAGTTGCATGCTTATTCTGTTTCTTGATCTCTCCACCCTGTGACATACACGTAATTTAGTACATTTCTTGGAACAACAAAACCAACACCTCATGAATAATGTAAACACTCACAAACCCCAAATTCCAACAACAAATACAAACCATCTTCATCTGATCAAGAACCCATAGAGAGATGTAGAGCACATCCCTCATGCATGTGACCTAGCTTAGACACATTGGAACCCAGAAGGCACCTTCTTGCCACAGTAGTTCAAGAGCAAGCTGAGCGAGACCGGGACGTTCAAGTTGATGCCCAACACGTTGGCCTTGATGGCGGTGCAGAGGCAGGCCGCGGCTTCGAGATCGACCAAGCCACTGACGAGGCTGCAGCATGGGGTCTTTGGTGGGGTCCCCACCACGAGGTGCAGCAGGCTCTTCAATACGTTGGCACACACCCCAAGCTTGAGGGTGTCCTTGGGGCACGTGGCCTTTGCCGGCGGCTGGGGGTGGTGCTTGTGCGGCGGCGGCGGGCAGTAGGTGGAGCTCACCATGGTGAAGAAAAGGAGGTTGAGGGAGAGGAGGAGGGCGGTGGTGGCTAGAGTCCTTGATGCCATTTTCGGTCACTCTCTCTCTCTCTCTCTCTCAACGAAGACACTCAAAAAAGAGCAAGAGAATAGATTTGTAGTGTTGTTGGAGGGAGAGAGAGGGATGTGCGAATGGTGATGAAGTGGGTCGAGGTATTTATAGTGGAGATTTGGGTGGGGAAGATAATTTTAATAGATTCAATAAGTCAGGAGAAGGGTGGATGCAAAGGGGATCACCGCCTAAAATTTCTCTTATTCATGTCATTCCAAAGAGAAAGAAGTGATTATATGGCAACTGAGATATTTAAATATGAGTGCGCAATTGTTTACATCAAAAGCGTAAGTTGTTAGCAGACAACTCGAAAGATGGATTCTTTTGAAGTTACATCTTAAATTTTACTTTAATTTTTTTTATAAAAGATTATCCCTAAATTAGATATTCTCGATTTGACAGGTGAGAGATGATCTCTAAAAAAGACCACAGATAAAAATAAACACCATTGGCTTTATTTGTGTCGGCATAAAAAGATTAAATCCATGACCGTACCTCATTGTGAGTGAGATGACATTTCACGTGGTTTATTATTTCATGAATCTGATCAAATGAAACTCCATCTTTAACGCTTCACACTTTGGGTTTATAATTAAATTATGGTCTTCAAATTAGATTTTCTCTCCCAATCTGATTTGGGAGTATTTTATTGTTTATATCTAATTTTTTCTTTGCTCGACGCTGATGCTTTTCTCCGCTCACTGGGTGTATATTTTGCTTCCATCGTTAAGAATCAACCCTCCACTTCAGATCCTCCAAATCAAGAAGTCCAACAAGATTGAGGAGGAATATAGTGAATTTATACTGCCTTGGAAGCGATTATACGACTTCTCCGAGTTTAAAAGCTCTTATCTCCCAATCTAGATCTAGATTTAGATCTTGGAGCTCTTCTCTCACGATCTGCATTTTGATCTTTGAGTTCCTTCGAGGCATTTTTATCCTCGTTCAATCTAGATATAGGTTTGAGAGCCTATTCAACCTGTTTGTTGTATCTCCGTACGGTGATGGCATTGAGAACATTGGGCAAATCGTAGTTATTAGAGAAGGAGATCATATCACTTGAGATGATGCGAGTCAATGATTGACCGTTGTTCGTTTTGCTTTGATATCGACACAGATATGTTTTTGTAGGATGAGAGTGTACTTATCACAGCAATTTGTATTTTGTTGTTCTACTTTACTATTTGAGATTTGCTTTGTTTTAAATGGTCTTGAGATATGAACGAAATATTTACTTTCGACAAAAAAAATACCTATGATAATGGAGTTAAATTGGATATAAATGCCAGATCACGACACGAGCATATAAACCCCAATAAATCAGTTCCAACTTGACCCGTTTTTTAAAATCCTTCGAAATTAGAATCACACGTCCTCAGAAGAACATTTGACAGTGACGCGCGCACATGTGGGCTCAAATTCCAGCACAACGCGGTGGTGCTATTGGGGCTGATAAAGGAAGACGACAGGCCTTTCTCTGGGTCTTGGATTTTTGCAGGTTTGTGTAATGTTTAGTTGTCCAAATCCGGTTGCTCTTCGAGCATTGGAGGGGTCATTCTGTCTTGTTGCGGCTGCAAGAGAATATTGCTTTGCGTAGTATCCGCAATTTGGGCGACTTTTTGATCTTTGATTTTGAGAGGGCTCACGGTCTCCAGAATTCCTCGCTCTCCGTCCACAAAATCCGTTCACGCGCCTGTTGAATCGACCCTCCATACAAAGACTTATGGCCGACATGATCTTGGTAACGGAGTCACGTCACGAGAAAGAAAGAGTTGAGTACACTAAAAGTCCTAAAACTTATTATAAAAGTACGATTGAATCCTAAATTTTCAAAAATTACAATCCGATCCTAAAACTTGTCAACTTAGTGCAATCAAGTTTTAAAACTTATTACCATTTTCCGTTTGCCGTGTTGGACAAAGTTAATGAAAGGACTTGATCACACCAGCTTGATAAGTTTTAGCACTCGATTGCACTTTTTGCAAGTTTTAGGACTTCATTGCACTTTTGTGACGAGTTTTAGAACTTCTGGAAGATTTATCCCAAAAAGAAATTAAAAAAAGGGAAAATACCACCAAAAACTCAAAACTATGTCACTTGTGATAAATTTACTCTGAACTTTTTTTTGTGACACGAAAAATTCTAAACTATGCCATTTGTGATAAATTTACCCTGAACTTTTTTTGGTAACACGAAAAATCCCAAATTATGCTACTTGTGACATATTTACCCCATAATACTTTGGCCCATGGGCATTTTCGTCTTTTTCCTTCTCTGTTTTTTTTTTCATTTTTTTTTCTTCTCTCTTCCCTCCGTCGGCCATGGCTGAGGGAAGCCGGCGAGGGCCCTCGCCGGCACTGGGCGAGGGCCCTCGCCGGCGCTGGGCGAGAGCTGCCCTTGCCGGCACAAGGTGAGGGCCACCCTCGCCCGACGCCGACGAGGGCAGCCCTCGCCTGAGTCGGAGTCGGGCACCTCAGGCAAGGGCTGCCCTCGCTGGATCTGGCAAGGGCTGCCCTCGCTGGATCTGGCGAGGGCGACCCTCGCCAGTGTCAGGCAAGGGCTGCCCTCACCCGCCCAGGCAAGGGCGACTCTCGCCCGACGTCGGCGAGGGCGACTCTCGCCCGACGCCGGCGAGGGCAGCCCTCGCCCAGCGCTGGCAAGGGCCCTCGCCAACTTCCCTCCGCCATGGCCGACAGAGGGAAGAGAGAAGGAAAAAAAACAGAAAAAGGAAAAAGATGAAAATACTCATGGCCCAAAGTATTGTGGGGTAAATGTGTCACAAGTGGCATAGTTTGGGGTTTTCGTGTCACAAAAAAAAGTTCAGGGTAAATTTGTTACAAGTGACATAGTTTGGGGTTTTTTGTGGTATTTTCCCTTAAAAAAATAGGTTAAAATAGATGGGCTCATCAACTAATCCATTAATAGTAATCAAAATGAATCACGGAATTTTTAGAAAATGTATTTGGAAAATATGTTTTTTGATCGATGGGAGTTTGGATGATACTAGCTAGTTACGAAGGTGCGATTAGCTTGATTCGATAGAATTTGCATAGGAAAAGTCTGTGTTGCTGACGTAACGAAGCATGAAAATTAAATGGAAAAAAGAATTGACATTTCGGAACAAATCTTTCTGATAATTAGCAAACGTGTGGATTTATTACCTAAGTTTTAGGTGTAAAGTTGTAGTAGCATGCATGTGATTACTAATTGAGACATCCATCAATCTCTGTCTCTCTTTTCCTTTTCTTCTTCTTTTGAGAAAAAAATTGGCATCATGTCGAATAAAGTTCAGAAATTACTGCTCTTTCAGCTCGGGCTATGAAGGGTGGCCTCGTGCACTTTTCTTTCACAAATTGCTTCAATGAATACCTCTTTTATTTTTTGGACCTACTCATGTCCTTAAAAGGATTCATTTCTGTTCTCTTCCGGATTCGGGATCATTAATATGTAAAACTTCTAGAGGGTATTCCCTCTCTTTAAGGAAGATAAAGATACAGGGAGAATTGTGGGTAAACGAGGCGTGCGGGCACCGGCACGTTAAAATAAGGAACACATCCATATGAGCCTGCCCCATAGGATACGGACAGTTTGTAGAAACCATCATAGAAGCGAAAACTCCTTTTCTTTGGTGAGGTTATTCATTAACCAAACATTAAGGATCCAAGGGAAACTTATAGTTAAGCAAATTAGGGAATAAAATGGGCAAGCGAGAGCACCAAACGAAGTACAATTATCAACACTCTGAGTACGAACTTTTTGATTTTATAAATGCTCAATACAATCAACTAGCCACTAATCAAGTCTGAAAATAAAAACCGTAATTGGTGTACCTTGATAACGATGCAATTAACCCCCTAAATTTTGAGCAATGCTATGTGTATTAAGAAATCTTATTAATAGATTTTTACGGAATGATATCGCAATTTCTCATTGGATATTTCAATGCATCGGTACCACTTATTTCAATGTCCGATTAAAACTTAATGCGGCACGTAACAAGTAATTAAGCTTTTTCGAAATATCCAATATTGGTTTCGAAAACATTTATAACCTAGTCCTTTTTATTACCTAATATTTTAACTACTACTTTCATAAGGTACTATACTATCATCTGAACGTGGGATTCTCAACATGCGCTCACATGAATTGAATCAAATCAATTAAAAAACTTCTGTAGACAAACGTACGATATGGACATGTGACTTTCTGGTTGTGAATTTTTGTCACTTAGCGGGAGACTGAACTGCTAAACTGTGTGATGATCGATGATTATTCACGGAATTGGAACGAATAAAATACATTAATTGCTGTCGCATTGAGACAGAAATGCACATGGAATCAGTCCTGATCTATACCCAAGTGGTCTTTTACTCAGCAAAAGACTATACTCCACCATCAATAATAATAATTTGTAGACTAAAGTTTTGCACAGTAATGATGTGGGTTCATGCGATATCTTATGCCCTAAATCTACTGGTCTTGCAGATCTACAGATAATCCCTGTACGGCCCCTCAATATTGACTCGACCATAACATAATAGCAGCTTCCTGGGCGCAAATCATGATCAGAACCAGACAGATAGAGCAGGAATATACCTAAGGAGAACATTATTGATGAGATTAATGCAGATTGCAGAGCACAAGAGTACTGTACCCGAAGAAGAAAGTAAAATTAAAGAGGAGCATGTGGGTTTTGGACCATAGAATATTTATTAACAAGACGATGCATGGAGAAATTTCGCGGCGAAACTAGCTAGGATTAGAATTTAGATGAGTTCTTTGACGCGATTGAGTAAAATAGGCAGTACCTAACTTAGCAGGTATGCATAAATATGGCACACATATATACGAGCCAGCTATAATTGGGCCGTTTCGGAGCCTCCATGAACTTGCAGTTAGATCTTGGGTCGAAATGAATGGCTATAAAATGATTTGGAGGAGGACAAAAAGGAGCAATGAACCGTAGCCATCGGGGCCTAATACAGTTCGATTGGACTTTCGAAGTTTTAAGAATCGCTCTTGATCTAGCCTTGAACCGCTTCATCAGTAACTCAATCAACTACTTTTAAACGCTGGATTCTATTCTTCACTGAGGATAAAAAATACAACATGGTCACTGATTTAGTGTCAGATTCTACAAGGAACTCACCCGGTCTAATGGCCGTGGTGCATTAAGCTCACGTAAATCTCGTAAACACATCCTCTTTTTACGCAAGACCCGCCATCGCTTTTGACCCCTTTCATTTTTGTCTTTCCGTATGAAAAAGTATCTTACAAGGTACATATGTAGTCCTTCGTGTCCGATGGTCCCATACATTGTTTGTACGGTTGTGCTGAAGGCGCATGCATCTTCAAGATACTAGGTGTGCTTGTACTATTTCTATATTATCCTTGGCGCTGCCTATGTAAGGATTACTTCGGCAAGAAGTTGAATAAGATCAGAGTTTGAAAAAATCCCAATATGGCTTTCTTAACACCTTTCCCTCTTCCTCAAAGTCTAATGTCATTAGAAGCTTAGAATTACACTGGTAATTCGATACGATGAGTTGGTCCCGCAAGTATACTCTTCACTTGCCACTTTATGAATTTTGTGAATCGGAATACTTCTTATACTTGAGAGACAAAAAAAAAGCAGTCTCTTGTAACGCCCAGAGGAAGGCCATGTGTTATTGTCTCGAATTACTATTTTATCATCCTTCGATTACTTAGTGAAATTTTCTTGAATCCTCTTTTTGGCAATTGATCATGCATATCAAGGAAACTTTGAATTTTCCTTCTTCCTTTCTCATTCCTGTGATATACCGAAGTTTATTTTTTAATCGGGAATAACCATTCAATTTCATTTTGAGGGAGTATTTATGTGATTCCAAAAAATTTTCTACTTTAAAATGCATCGACATGATACATGGGGCTGGGAAGAGCTCCATATCCCTCGAGTATTTCCGTAATTTTTATTTCTGATCAATCAATGTGTTGACAAAAAAAACTGTTCAAAGCTATTTAGCACTCCAATCTTTCTTGAAGAGCGATTAGGAAGATAATCGCGGCGGAGATTAGGTTAATTAAACATGCATCCAGCTGGTGGTAAACCCACGTCGGACTAAATAGAATCCAATGCGATTGTGTAGCTGATCAACTGCTCTCATGTCTGCTGTCAATTATAAGCCAAAACACAACATTTCTTTTCTGTTTTCTGGCAGCAAAGCTTGAAAGGGTTAATTTGTTGAACCAGCAGGTGACATTCAAAGCTCAGCTCCAACTACTCATCTCTTCAAAGCTTGTCCTAAAAAAACTTCTGTTAAGCACCGTTAAGTGCGACATTAACGCGAGTATACCCTTGTTGAATTCATGAAGGAATAGGATTTATGAGTGGTCAATGCGCTTAGAACGTAATATTCTCGAGTTAGCTACATGGTTAGCCTTTCTCATGTGTTCATAAATCAGAAGTGATCTGAGACTTAGGCTTGCCCAACCAGGAACAACCCTAAACGCAAAGGGCCAGCATATGGTATCTCTTTTAGTTATGATGTCACGAAATAACAGGAAAACTTTGCGAACGCGACATCAGAAAGTTCCGAAATATAGAATGAGCGAGTCATTTGATGTGTTGCTGAGGGATATAGATTAGCGAGGATAACTCAGCTGTTGTGCACTCCAACTAGAATGAGAAGTATTTGATCATGCAAGAAAAGAGTACGTTTTATTGTTGAATGAAGGAATAACAGCAACCAACCGCAGTAATTCAACTTAAAACCGGAAAAAGCAAAGAGGAAAGCAATGTAGCCAGAAGTGAATTACAACATCACGCAAAATGAAAGAGCCCTCATGCACATTGGAAGCCATAAGGCACACTCTTCCCACAGTAATTCAGCAGCAAGCTCAGCGAGACCGGGACATTGAGGTTGATCCCGAGGATGCTCGCTTTGATGGCAGTGCAGAGGCAGACGGCAGCCTCGAGGTCGGCAAGGCCCGCGAGGAGGCTACAGCACGGGGTCTTCGGAGGTGTGCCCACGACGACGTGGACCAAGTCATTCAACAAGTTGGCGCACACGCCCAGTTTCAGGGCATCCCTGGGGCAAGAGGGCTTCGCTGGCTGCGAGTGCGGGTGCGGGTTTGATGGTGAAGGTGGGCATGGCACAGCAGTGGAGCTGACTAATGTGAAGAAAAGGAGGTTGAGGATCAAAAAGAATGCAGTTGGTGCAAGAGCCTTTGAAGCCATTGCTGTATCTCGAAGAGAAAGGTATGAGTATACAGAATGACCAAGGCGGACGTGATGAAAATGGTGAAGAAGAGGAAGGGTTTATATAGGGTTGGGATTTCCCTGTGGTGACCTGTCCTGCTAAGATCGATTAATATGTAATTTGATAGCTATCTGGTTTCGAGAAACGAGTTTTTCGAGAGATCGTAGTACAACGAAACACCCGAAAAATGAAAAAGTGTTTGGAGCGAAATGTCGAGAGTTTGGGGATCAAGTGGGCATCATGTTGATTGGAGCGAAATGTGCGACACAACCTGGCAATGCAACTAGAGGAGACAAGATTGAGAGGATCATGAGGCTCGGAGTTTAGTGAGTTTGATCAAATCTGTCGATCTATCTCCCTATCACTCGAGCAAGGAACTATGGCCCTCTCCTGTACTTTGGTTTTTTTCTTTTTTTTCTCTCTCTTGGGGTGAGCAAAATAGTCTTGACTGGTCTTGAATAATGAACACTTCATTAACAGCGAGTCGTCTAATTTTTGAGCAGGTGCTTCAGATAAGTGCTTGTCATCATGAATCTATCTCTCCCCCGTCGCCCTTGGCAGGAACAAGAGAGAAAGTGTGTCACAGGCCGATGGACCAAAGGCCCGCGAGAGTGGCCCAGAACCTTGTTATGGGCCGATCGGGCAGGGTGATTAAGCAACCTTACTGGGCCTAGTTAGCCGACAGCGTGGGCTAGCTTGCGGAGATGGTATCGACTAAGAGAAAATATTCGGTGGTCGGAAAGAGGCACGTCAACAATTGACGTGGAATAAAAAAATCATGTCCAATGATATGTTGACATATGTCCGCTGAGTTGAAATTAAAAAAAAAATCGTTTTTTTTCCCTCTTCTTCCTCCTTCACGGTTTCACCCTCGTTTCTCTCCTGGCCGTCTTCCATGGCCATTGGCACCGCCTTCAAGCTTTGTCTTGGCCGGCTCTTCAAATCCTGCTGTCCATGGCCACCGTCACAGAGCAAGCCATCGTCACTCGCGGTCATGGCGCCAAACGAGCCTTCGTCATGGGCAGCTCCTTCACCCACGTTTCTCTCCAAATTTGGGTCTTCCATGGCCATCGGTCCGCGTTCAAGCGTCTTCTTGGCCACTCTTCAGATCTGACCGTCCATTGCCACCGGCGCCGAAGGTGCCGAGCCATCGTCACTCGTGGCCATGGCTTGACCCAATTTTCGTTTCTCACGAACTCCTCCATGAGCGGGTAGTCCTTAATCCTCTCCCACTTTAGCACCCGGAGATTGCACTTGGTTAGGGGTGTGACGGTCGGGCCTCGCAGCAGCCTCCAGCCCCTTCTACTTCTGCTGCTTCCAGTCGAGGGGCGAAGGTTGCACCACTGACTCAAACTACTTCTTATTATCGAAGCCGTGCTGCTTGCTGTCGCCACCGACCGATGACGGCTTGCTCAATGGCAGCGGCCATGGACGGCCAGATTTGATGAGCCGACCAAGACGAAGCTTGAAGGCGGTGCCAATGGCCATGGAAGAAAACTAGGAGAGAAACGAGGGCGGAGGAAGAAGAAGAGAAAAAAAAAATCGTTATTTTTTTTTAATCCAACTGACACGTGTCAACATATTATTGGATGTGAGCAAAAAATGCGCACAGCACGTCAATGCTTTGCAATCACTAAATATTTCCTCATCGGGTAGGGGTGTTAACGGTTTGAATCGGGTTGGGGTTCCAGACCGGATTGAACCGAATCAAACCGCTTGGGTGTGCATTAGCTTTGAACCGAACCGCGACTCAAACCGAATATAACCCGCACCGAAAACCCGGTTCGATTTGGTTCGATTTTTTGGTTTTCTTCTTTGTAATATTACAAAGAGGTTTAGCGAAAAATGAGAAAGATCGTGTAAATTATAATATTAAGAAGATGGATGATTTTCAATTCGGTTTGGTTAGCCAAACCAAACCAAAACTATCCGAACTAGAATAAAGACGATTATCTTTCTCATTATCTGAACCGAAAATGCATGAAATTTCAGTTCGATTTTCTAGTTTGCTTCTAACACCCCTAGTATCAGCCCAATGGCATGGCGTGGGACGTGTCGTTTGGGGTGCTTCGGAGTATGGGAGAATCGAAGAACAAATCAGGTCAATCGAAGTAAACCAGATTGAACCGAGCCAACCCAAACCTTAATTTGGGTATGGACCATCCTCTCGAGTTTGGGTTCTCAGCTCGATTGCCTCCGGTTGGACCACGGCACGGAAACCACACAAAAGAAATATGGACTTTGGGTTGTACAAAATTCTAGTACTATATTATACTTTTCCTTACATGAACTTAATTAATTAATTGTTTTTTCTTCTAATGTAACGTGACACCGTAGTAATTTTGTAATTAGGAGATTAGCCACGACTTTTGCCTCCATCATGATGGTCCCCCTAGGGACCAACCATCAAAATGTAAGCATCCATCCCCATTCACCATGACTCCCTTTGACATAACAACAACTGCTAAGGAAGAGAGGACATAAAAATAAAGCAATTTTTTTTCTAGGATACTCGATAATTAAAGATCTTAGACACATATCCAGTACATAAAAATGCACAGATTTTGTCTGTTATTATACATTCTCCAAGAAAATACAAAACAATAAAAATCGAGGCTTCCATTACGTATGGTAATCTCATATGAGGACAAATAGATGTGAGGAAACTAAACAGAGGAACAATAATCAGGAAAAAAACATGCAAGATCTTAGTCACATATCCAGTGCATAAAAATGCACAGATTTTGTCTGTTATTATACATTCTCCAAGAAAATACAAAACAATAAAAATCGAGGCTTCCATTACGTATGGTAATCGATCTCATATAAGGACATATAGATGTGAGGAAACTAAAAAGAGGAACATTAATCAGGAAAAAACAAACAAACAAACAAACAAACAAAGCAGCATGTGTTATAGTTGTTAAACTATGTGGTCGATTCGTCCTTCAAATACCCAGTTGACCTTGAAGCTCCAGTAGGGTCTCACCGGAGGCTTTCAGCCTCTGTACCTCCACATCCGTCATGTGCACATTGGTCACGCCCACGACGCCGCCGCGGCTGAGCTGCGCCGGCAGGCTCAGGAACACGTCCCCGCCGTCGATGCCGTAGAACCCCTTCGCGAGGACCGAGACAGGGTGGATCCTGCGCTGGTCACGGAGGATGGTCCGGGCCAGGTTGGCTACGGAGTAGCCGATCGCCCAGGACGTGTAGCCTTTGAGGCTTATGACTTCATAGGCGCCGTCGACCACGGCCTTGCGGATGTTCTCCAGCATCTCCTCCTCGTACGGGATCTGTTGCCGCTCCAGGAAGCTCAGGATCGGGACTCCCCCGACACTTATGCTCGACCACAGCGCGACCGAGCTGTCGCCGTGCTCTCCGACCACGTAGGCCTGTATGATCGCAGTCATTTGATACACACGTAAGTTACATCACGTTATCTTCTTAAAAAAATAAGGAAGCTGCATTTTCCAGAGGTTTTACCTTTCATAAACCAATCGTTAAATCAATCCAAAATAAAATTCTCTACATCACTTCTGGAATTGTTAAAATCCCATGTCAATGACGAGAAAGTATTTGGCGAGTCTCGTATATGTGCTAAAATGTATATCTACAGTTAGATTTGGTGTGATCTACCATTTCTACAAGTGAGATTCCACGTTATCTAATGTTCATTCTTGTACCTGCACGTCCTGAGCGTTGACTTGAAGATGATCCGCGAGCAAGAACCGAAACCTGGACGAGTCCAAGTTCGTGCCCGACCCAATGACCCGGTTCGACGGGAACCCGGACAACTTCCACGCCACGTACGTCAATATGTCGACTGGGTTCGAGACGACCATGAGGATGGCGTCGGGAGAGTGCTTGGCAACCTCCGGAATGATGCTCCTGAAGAGGGTCACGTTCCTCTGCAGTAGGTTCAGCCTCGACTCGCCAGGAATCTGCCGGGCGCCGGCAGTGACAACAATGAGGTCCGACCCGGAGGTGACAGTGTAGTCAGAGGAGGAGGCGAGGATGGTGGTGCGGGGGAGGAAGGCGGCGGCATGCTGGAGGTCAAGCATCTCGCCTCGGAGCTTGTCAGGCATGGCATCGACAAGGGCGATCTCATCAACAAGGTCCTGGGTGAGGACAGTCTGCGCGATGGCCATGCCGACATTGCCAGCCCCAACGACGGTGATCTTGGTGTGGCGGTTGGTCGGGGATGGCGGGGCAGTGTTGTGGATGGGCCTGAAGAAGGCCTGCGATAGGTCGAGGCCGCCCGGGCCGAGGGATGAGGCTGAGTATGTCTTGTGCATGGTGTTTATAGTGGGATGGCGGCGGCAGCGGCGGTAGCAACGGCGGGTTTAAGAGTAGAGGTTTTGGTATGGTGGTGGTTGGTGGTGGTTGTTTGGTTTCCGGTATGGAGATAAATAGTTAGGGGTTTTGTGGAGTTTTATAGGAGATCGAGAGGGGAAAGAGGAACGAAAGTTCTTTGGAGAAGAAGTCTTCCTATATAATAATACGTCTAAGTGACAGAAAAACATTATTTCCGATACGATAAAGATCAATATACCGACCCAATATACGAAGTAACACAGATAAGTTTTATAGGAGCTTTAATACTAACGGTTCATTTAACGGCACATTATAACTTACCACGTCATTTAACGTATCAATTCAGTGACGCTATCTATTTCAATATCACTTAAGAAATGCATAAAATCTCATGTATCTTTCTTATTTATACACGAGAATAATTTAATATGATACGTTATAAGTTTTCTGAATGGTTATCATGGCCATTGTCGATGTGAGTATAGAACTTCTCGGCTAGGTAATTGATTCGTGTAGGCACGATGTTCTGTTGCGAAAGCGCCCAAAATTTTGTCATCATGAAAGTTAAATCGAATGTATAGCTTTCATGGAGAGTGTTTCCCAATTAAACAAATACATGGAGATTTTTTTTTCCATGTTTGCCTGCTGCTTGCTGGCGCCTAAGCACCAAGCACTTGCATTCAACCTTCTTTAACAGCTCTAGCCCTCTTTAGATGGGGGGGATTGGACTTTCTAGATCATTATGTCAATCTGGTCAACTTTGAAAAAGAAAAACCAAAAGATGCAACGGATTTTCTATTACGCACACTGTTTATTATGGTGCGATCGCAACCCAACGTAATAAGTGAAAGCACAAATCAACCCCATTCTAAAAAAAACAGTACAATTCATGCACATCCCATCTAGCCTAAGAAAACATGTTTCGCACGTGTTCGCGACGCCATGCGATCCCAATACCCGATCGTAGAATTAGATCGAGCGGTATCTTCTCCGCTTCGATCCCGAACACCAACATGAAATGTTATGAAACAGGTTCCAGTTTAATTTGTGAAAAGCTAAAGGGAGAAAAAAGGGGGAAGGGGGTGGGGGTGGGCGTTCAAAGTTCAAAGTGCTTGGAGGGCACTCCAAAGCCAAGTTTCATGGACGGCAGCAAGAGCCGTACGATTCATGTTTTTTACTTGGTGGACAATCCAATTCCGTGGGCTGAAATGGAGAAGCTTCTTATATAATAAGTGCTCTTCTTTTCCCCCGAATTGACTGGAAAAAACCTCAATTTCGAAGTCTTCTCAGGAGGCCCGGCAGCAGAAATAACGTGCAGACAATCAAATTCGTCGTTGGACGAATCAAACCCGATTGATAACGAGAGCTAGAGACGTCGGATTCAATTATCAATGCAAAATGGGAAAATTGTCTTTCGCAAGTGACGATTTGACATTTGCTATTTTTGAACACGTATACGAGGAATATTCTGACCAAAAAAAAAAAACGTGGAATATACCTGTCGGCTGCGTAGATCCGGACCCCATTTCGACGAAAACCTCTCCTCGAAGTATTTACTCGTTTCATTTGCTCCCCAACTTTGTCATTTGTTGTCGGAACGTCCAGTCCAAAACCTTAAAAGTCTATAGATAGAGAGATACTATATGACGCTTTCACGCCAACTACCGTGTTAGAATGTCCAAGCCGTACACGCGTTATAAATTAGGGCAGAAGCCCGACTCCAATATCATGCTCAAAGTCCAATCCAAAAACTTAGATTCATAGGTGAAGGGAGATCGCATGCCTATAAAAAACGTGTGAATCCAATAGACGAATAATGCGGGATGCTTTAATATATGTAACGTCTTTCCCGACGCGCTAAAGAGTAAATACATATGCTGACAAGTTCCCATCAATCGTCCATCTAAATTCTTTGTTTTGTATTTAACACGCACGTACAGATGTTGCTCCACCTGTTAGCGTAATAGCGTTGTCATCACGCCCTGAACTCGAAAGGAACGAGACCTAGCGGCTTCCACGAAAGCTCCCACCTTTGACAAATCCTTTGGTCGAGAAAAAAAGACTGATCGATTTGACTCCGCGGAGAAGAAACCGTGGAAGAGCAGCCCACGGATTTGAGCCTCTAAAACAGCTCACACCGACCCCCTTCCAAGGGGGAAGCATGGCGTGAGTTGAACAGCAGCAGCAGCACGACGACTGAGTTTCGACTTTCAAGAAAAAGAAAAAGTGTGCAATGGAGAAAGCGCAGATGTCTCCCATCATTCCCTCCACACCTCTCGCTTCCACCAATTCCCTCACCTTTTGTCTCCTGAAACAGCCGTTCGCCAGCGCCACAGCCCGCTGTCTTCCGATAAAATCCAAGTGCTAATTCAAAGTCAAATTCGAGCGGGTGTTTCGATTGTTCCCACCAATTGGAGCCACCATGCAAGTTTTTCCAAGCATGTGGTGGGGCGTTTTTCTCCTCTTATCAACTTTTCAAAGAGGAAAGGCTATCGTATAAGGGGGGTTAGGTTAGACACCTTTTTTACTACTATGGTTTAGGGATGATTGGGACCGGCCTAAAGTGGTTCGGAGCGAGCTTTCGAGACTCCTCGATCGCTCGCCAACAGGTTTATTTGCGCAAGATGTTCCTGTGGATGAGGTACATCCTGACCAGGAGAAAATGGATACATGTGCGTAATTCGATTTGAACCGTTGCTGTTACTCGAGATGCCGCCGACCATGGTCGAGTGGTCGGCATCTCTATACGGCAAAAAACGAACGTTTTGCGAGGGCATAAATATTGAGTGTCCCTTTTCTAATCTGGACAAGTTCATGCAAACCATCCGGATCGTGTTGCGAGTATGTTCTCAAAAGGATTGCATTTAATTTGACTTGAATTTGGGACAATTACCAAACCTATTCTATTTGTGCCAATTCAGTTCTAATCTTTCAATTGTGCCAATTTAGTCCTAAACATTTTCATATTTTGCCAATTGAGTTTATCCGATCAATTTTGACGGGAAATTGTTGATGTGGAGGTCAGCTGTCGTATGTGGCACGGCCACCGCAGACATTGATATTTTTTAATAATATTTTTGATTTTTTTTCCTTTTTTTTTCTTTTCTTTTTGGACTAAGAGCTGCCGGCTGACCCTCGCCAGCACTCGACGAGGGCATAGCGGCCCTCGCAGAAGATGCCCTCGCCGGCCAAAGCGAGGGTGCACGGCCCCTCGCCTTGAGCTAACGAGGCCGCGACGCCCAAACGAGGGAAGGGCCGCGACGCCCTCGCCTATGACCGGCGACCCTTGCTGACTCTAGGTCCAAAAAAATAAGTAAAGAAAAAAACCAAAAAAAATTATAAAAAATTCAAAATATCATTAAAAATGTCAACGTCAACGCTAGTCGCATCCACCTAGTGATTTTTTGCCAAAATTGGCAGGATGAAATCAATTGGCAAAACGTAAAAATGTTAATGACTAAATTGACACAATTAAAAGGTTTATAACTGAATTGACACAAATATAAGAGGTTGAGGACTTTTTTGGTAGTTTTTCCCGAGATTTAGTGCACGCACTCTTCTTGAAACGCAGCCAACCCGCTTCGGCACAAGTGCGATACGGAGTTCTTGATACCATATTTATCAAATAGTCATGTCCAAGCAGATATTGTGGTGGCCCTGGTGAGTGATACGACATAGATATGAGTCAATTCTGGTGAAAAATTGAAACCCGTCAGTGGGAGGACGCTCTTTTCCCCAACCACCTCGATCGGATTTTGGGCTTCAATCAAGAGGATGTCTTCGAGAAAATAGTATTGTTGAAACTTTGTCTCCCATTGGACATCCCAAGAGAGATTTGTTCTCCTAAAACAGTCATTGCCATAGCCCACAGGCTTCAAATGAATCCAAGTTCTCAAGTCAATACGAGTGGTGTTGGTTCGTTCAATTCAACCTTTTAGAGCCACCCTTCAAATTTTTCTTTCTTCTCTCATCAGTTTTCGGCAGAAAGAAAAGCTATCATATAAGTGCATTGTAGACCCTATCATATTATCATTTCTGATGATGTTATATCATCAGGGTCATTATAAATCAACCTGCAAAATGTTTCCGATCAATGGATGAGGGACATACTGGCCAGGAAAAATGGGATAGGTATGCACGATTCAAAGTTAAAACACTGCTGAAACTCGAGACGCTGACAATTGTGAGTGATCAGCATCTCTATACGGCAAAATGGAACATTTTGCGAGGGCATCAACATTTAGTCTCACTATTCGATCCGGACGGTTTATGCAAACTATCCATACCAAGATAGCGCTGGGAGCCCATACCTGAATTTAAAGTAAGCACTCCTCTTGAGACAGTTCCAATATCATTCATTTATCAAATGGCCATGCCCAAGGCGATGTTGTGAAGGGTGATACAACATAAATACGAGTCAATTTTGGCGAGACGCCCTTGCCTACAGCCGGCGAGGGTTGGCTGGCAACCCTTGCCGACCCTCGGTCCAAAAAAAAAGTAGAGAAAAAAACTAAAAAATATTATTAAAAATGTCAATGTCAGCACTGGTCGCGCCACCTAAGACGACTAGCATTTACTTCAATGATTTCTGGCAAAAATTGGCCGGATGAAATCAATTGGTAAAACGTAAAAAGGTTTATAACTAAATTGACACAATTGAAAAGTTCATAACTGAATTGGCACAGGTGTAAGAGGTTGATGATTTTTTTGGTAAATTTTCCCCAAGATTTAATGCACGCACTCTTCTTGAAATGCCGCTTCGGCACAAGTTCAATACGGAGTTCTTGATACCATATTTATCAAATAGTCGTATCCAAGTAGATATTGTGCGATGGGTGATACGAACATAGATATGAGTCAATTTTGGTGAAAAATTGAAATCCGTCAGTGGGAGGACGCTCTTTTCCCCAACCACCTCGATCGGATTTTGGGCTTCAATCAAGAGGATGTCTTCGAGAAAATAGTATTGTTGAAACCTTGTCTCCCATTGGACATCCCAAGAGAGATTTGTTCTCCTGAAACAGTCATTGCCATAGCCCACAGGCTTCTGATATATCCAAGTTCTCAAGTCAATATGAGTGGTGGTGGTTCGTTCAATTCAACCTTTTAGAGCCACCCTCCAATTTTTTTCTTTCTTCTCTCATCAGTTTTCAGCAGAAAGAAAAGCTATCATATAAGGGCCATCCTTGACCCTTCTTATCATATTATCATTTCTGATGATGTTATATCATCAGGGTCATTATAAATCAACCTGCAAAATGTGTCCGATCAATGGATGAGGTACATCCTAGCCAGGAAAAATGGGATAGACAAGCATGATTCAAATTTAAAAGGGAAAATGACACAAATAGTTTCTGAATTTTGGCTCAATGTGCAATTTGATCCGTTAACTTTTAATTCGTTCAATGTAGTCCCGGAACTTTAGGCTTCACATTTTCATATAGTTCGGGAACTGAATTGAACATATACCAAAAGTTCAGGGATGATATTGAACAAATTAAAAATTTAGGGACTGAATTGAACATGTACCAAAAGTTCAAAGATGACATTGAACAAATTAAAAGTTCATAAACCATATTAAACATTAACCTAAAGTTCAGGGATTACATTGAACAAATTAAAAGTTCATGAACTAAATTGCACATTGAGCCAAAATTCATGGACTATTTGTGTCATTATCCCAATTTAAAGCACTGCCAAAACCCCGAGAAGCTGACAATAGTTGAGTGATCTACATCTCCATAAAGCAAAACGGAACATTATGCGAGGGCATAAATATTTAGTCTCGCTTTTCGATCTGGACAAGTTCATGCAAATCATCCATACCGAGATTGTGCTGCGAGCCCAATCTCAAAAGGATTACAATTAGGTAGACCCGAATTTAAAGTAAGCACTATTCTCCAGACAGTACAGATACCATTCAGTTATCAAATGGCCATGCCCAAGGAGATGTCGTGAAGGGTGATAAAACATGAATAGAGTCAATTTGGCGAAAAATTGAAAATCCATCAAGCGTTACCCTTGCGGGAGGACGCTCTTTTCCCCTACACATCGATCAGCTTTTCGGCTACAATCGCAAGGACTGTTCGAGAAATTAGATTGTTTTGAGTTTTTTCTTCCATTGGACACGAGCATCACATTCACTTATCATACATTACATTCTTCTTCAGCACCTCTGTTGGAAAAATCCCTCAGGCACAACAAACCACTCTCCAGACGGTCCTTCCAAGAATGTGAAGCACTATTCTAATCAGCATTTGCATAGTAGTGCTTGTTCAGCTCTTTCCAAAGCTCATAAAATCACAAGATATCGAACTCCATCTATAAAGATACGCCAGCATCGAAAGCACCGGAGCGGGAACTTTTCTCATTAAACTGATAGTTGGAGCTTATATACGAGCTGTACATAATACGATTTGCAAATGAAATTCTTCATAAACCATGCAGTGAAATGTCCAAGTAAATAGCACCAGACAACGAGTGGAAATAGGCCACCTGCTAAGATAGCTATCGAAATCTACCACCCAAGCCCGAATGTGTTTTCTCCGCTGTAAGTGACATAGAGAAACCCATCTTCGTCCTTCTTCTCTTCATATATAGCAGACATGATTGCCCCTGCAAGAATAAATTAGAAAGGAACGTCTTTCTTTAAGTCCATTCCGAGTTACAGTGCAAGAAGCATATATAAGTAGACGAAACTGAAAAACTTCCTGAACGAAGAGCAAGAATCACCTGTTGGTGGGAGAATATTGTCCACAAAGATGAAGATTGCCTTCTCTGCACTCAACTTAATCCTTTTGCGAATGACGTATACGAATTGTCCAACTGTTAGGTCGGCAGGAACAAGATACCTAGCATGCACATCAAGATCAAGAATTAATCGGTCAAGACAGATGATTACTTCTCATATCTGCGCAGAGTGATACTTTCAACACCAAAAGACAATCTATATAACCCCGTATGCACAATAGCCACGAGAAGAGGGCGTGCAAAAGTAGTTGCATGACGAGTAAAGCAACTATGAGTCCAAATACTATATATCATGTGGACACATGACCTATTGAAGGACAAAATGGGCTCTCGGTTTTCCCATCCGTTTTTGAAGAACATATCATGGATAAGGGAAGAAAAGTCAAGATGAAAAAATGATTTGTCGCCCATTCAACTGATCAATTGAACAAGCTGAATAAATTATAAGAGACGTCACACAAGTTGAGGGCCACAAATAATGAATAAAGGTTCAGACACACAACATAGGCAACCATTGAGCAGTCTTTCCATCAATAACCAGATAATCTCCCCCAACTCCTTTCTGTTTAGCTGGGATTCTAATTTTAAACAAACAGAAAGCAGGTGATCGACAAAAGCTCAATTCTTACTTCTTCTTGTCAATGTTTGGGATATCACTTCTCTCAGCCTTCTCCACAATCACCTTAAGCAAAGACAAAGATCAAGACATGTCAGCTTATTAACCCAATATGATGAAATGCACATGGATTTGTCTTTAAAGAAAATACTAGTAAGATCAAGAGGGGAAGGAAATTGAACCAACAAAAGCTCTTGAATCGTGGTAATGGTGGACCACCACACCCAGCCAGTCCGTAATACATATGGACCTTTATAGCCTAAATCGTTGAAGTCTAAGTTCTCACTACCATAACAACTGAGCTTTTCCAGACCAGTAGTAGCACGTTTCAACTCAAATTATCTCAATATTTGCTACCTTTTAAAAGAAAAGGCACACCTTTTCCTTCTCCATGACCTTGTAATGTCACCCTAAAGATAAAGTACAAAAATTAGAGGAAAGAATTGACATTACAGGTTATTTTTCACATATCCAGCACCCAAAGGATCTGGACATTGATATGAATGACTTCCACCAAACAGATCAAAAAACCACTGCGGTCCATACGAAACCTTGTACATCATATGCAAAATGCTTGTAACAATCTTTAATATAGACGATACTCTGCTGAGTCGATATTCAGTCTATCCATCAAAATTTCTTTGCATGTGAAAAGATCAATCAACATAATGTAAAATTGACCTGTTTTGGGGACAAAAAGCAGAAGCGATGACAGAAAACTAAGAAATACTGGCCCGAACACATTTGCATAGGCAAAAAGAGGGGCGCTGTAATTATGTGCGACAATATCTTAAATCTTAAAAGACTGGAAGAAAATAAAAGGCCCGGTCAATGAGTAAGAGAGCTCAAGCAGGCGATACCCGTTCTCAATTCAAAAGTATAAAAGGGCCCCATAAACCACTTAATTTCCCATATTGTTAGACTAAACTTCTAAAATGCTGAATAAAGTAATGCTTTGAACTTGACTTTCCACTCCGCAAGTCCTAGAGGGCATAAGAGATGAAGCACACGAACAATCAAGTATCCCAATAAGTAACCCAAGTATAACTAGATACCTAAGTTCCCAAAGAAACAAACTTAAGGCTACATTTTCCAAAGATAACATTTTTTTTTGGTCGAAACAAAGATAAGTTCATCAGCACGAATCATTACAAGTTTCATCCAACTTTCATTCTCACCGGAATTCTATCTGGGTACTTATCCCTTATCCTGGCAGCCTCCGCGCGCCTCTTCTCTGGGTTTCAAAAAAAAAAAATGCAGGACAGGTTTATTTATTGACAGTTTCACAATTGAAGCTTTATCACCAAAATAACCACGAAAGCAAATTACTACTCAAGGAAGAGAAACACGCACCAAGATCATGCTCTTGCTTGAAGTAACTCTTAGCCATTCCACCTGCTACTGTAGCCCCAAAAACATAAGCCAACCGGTACAATCGAACATAACAAAAAGAGATAATAGTAACAGCAACACAGCCCTTCAATTCATCACCCACTCCCTCAAACCCACATCTAAAAGGTAGTTCAATTTAGCAGCACAGTCAAATTTAGGAAGGTGAAGCCAGTTTCCTAAGCCAAAAGGAAGAGAAAAAAATAGAAAAGATCAAAACTTTATCTCCTACTCACATCACTGAGCACAGAATTTAGTATTGACCGACGATCAGACATATAAAGAACTTAAAAAAAAAAAAAAAAGGGAAAAGCAACCCAGGATTTTGCAAATTCAAGCACGAGCACTGTCAAAGCCAAGCACCCAGATGAACAGCGACTGATTCCCAAACAAAATACTCGAAATTTAACGACCTCCGACCTATTTTTTGGCTAATCGAACCGTGAAAAGAAGCACGAGTTCGCAAGCGGATGACCCAATCGAGAGGCAAGCTCGGAGCTGATGATCGTACCTTGTTGGGTGATGACGGGAAAAAGGGTTGGTCGCGAGCGAGAGAGAAAGAGAGAAAGATAGCAGCTTCTTTTGGGGAGAGAAATCTTGTGAAACCCGTGGAATCAGCTAGAGAAGATAACGCGGATACCGGGGGGGCAGCTTTTTCGGGCTGTGTGTTTCAAGTGATTTTCAACTACTCCATTTGTCAATGCTCATCTTTAATGTTAAACCCCTTTTTTTTTTAAATTGATGCATAAAATTGAAAAGAAAAAATAAGGAAAAAAATAAGTGATGGTGAGAATTAATTCGCTCCTCCACAGTAGTCAAATCTTGTTGCTTTTTCTGAGAAGGTTGATGAAGTATAAGAAAGCTCCATCTTATTTCGAATTGTTTTCTATTTAAGCCTTGAAGAAGATTACGAAACAAGCTTTCCCCTATTCGAATCAAATCGGTATCGCATTTTTCGTGGCCTACCAAATTTTTAGCAAGATTTCACTCGAAGGGTATTGAACATATGACACATTTTCCAGCACATTAAAACATCAACCAATACTTATCCCATCTCACGCCACGAGAAAATTAGGAAAACAACATTTGATCGTCAAAAAGAAGAATAAATGGGTACGAAAATATGTCATAGTCAAGTCAAGTGACCAATCTGGCCAACGAATGAAAATTCCCACCATTTTATGCCAAGCAAAAAGTTGCTGGTCGAACTAAAATGAGAAAATCTGACCCAACAAAATAAAGAACTAAAATGAGAAAAAAAATAATAAATTTCGAATTCTGATTGGCCTCATCGGTCTTGACGCCTATGCATGCCATAAGAAAAACAATAGTGTAACATCTTTGAACCAGGGAAACTGAGACTTGGACCATCCATCATTTGCGCCATTATACAGTCACTCGAGCATTTGAGACAGAATCATGTTCCTCATCCTTGGAATGTAAGGAGCTGGTCATGGTTCTAATGGTCTAAACCAAGCTTGGCAATGGTGTAGATTGACATGATTACTTAAAGTCTTTATGCACAACAAGACTATATTAAACTGGTAAAACTGCGAAATGCTGGGTCAAAAATAAGAATATCCTTATATTCTCAAGACCCTGTTGGAGACAGAGAAGGCCCACCACTCTTCATTATTTTGTCAGTGAGGAAATGATGCAAAACTACTCTCCAGTGGCCAAGATGGTCTCATTTGGCTTAAAAAAAAGATCAAGTTGAGTCGGCATAATATAGCTGGGAACTGGTTACATGCCCATAGTCAACACGGACTTGATATATACTCTTATGGTGCTTCAGTGACGAAGTATGAAAGTTGTGCTCTGTTTGATCTTCAGTCTTGATTTTTGTTAGCTCTTTGGAAGTTGCAGATTGAGGTCCGATCGCCTGGAAATTAGCTAATGAATTGAGCTAGAGTTTAGCTCTCGTTTGTGGTTGGGAGAGAGATCTGTTTTGCACCACAGTTTTGCAGCCCTCAGTTCTCATGGCAAGGCAATAGGGACAAACATATGGCCAGATCAGGAACTTAGGATCATCAACATTTTATGAGACAAACTTTGAAGCAGGGTTTAAAAGTGTGGTTTCTGTCGGCCTGAGATCTCCATCACGATGAGCAATTCCGAATCCTTTGCAAAACATAAAGGTTCTTCTGAAGAGACCACCCTCGTGGTTTCGCTGTTTCATTGGCTGGTTCAGCATGTAGGTTGCAGAATGGATGTCAGCTTCTGATCCTGATACTGAAGATAGGGTAATGCTAATGCCTTCTGTTATTTTGGGTGCAAAAGAGATCTGCCATTTGATATTAATCGCAACATCGTATTCGAGAGGTCATGATATTCCTCTCTCAGTAATGTCAATACTATACATCAGCAAGAGATATGTCTCGAGTACATTCGATAACTCTTTTCGCAAGCTAGGTTCATAGTTACAAGTAGTAAGCGTTTCTCGACCGTTGTTAATATCATTGCCAGGACGAAAATAGAAACATGTAAAAACTCCTAGGCCAGTTCGAGCTTCCCTCCTAGACTTGTGAATACTGAATAGACAAGTACCGATCTCCAGGACTGAGAGAAGACGTCTCGCTCTCATCTGTGAATGACTTTACCAATAAGGCCTTCCTCAGGTCGCCCGAGGCGCGCCACTCATCAATGCTCGCCAATTGGTTGGGGTCCAAACATGGAAGCTCTCTTTGATTTATGATTTTCGTCACTTTCGCCGTTTTTCCGAGAAGAAGAGCGGCGGACCGCACGCACTCTTTCCGTTCCTCAATGCCACTGCGAGAACACTCGGCACATATGACTTGTTCTAAGTTGGTGAGGCAGGCCGCAATAATATCGGAGATCATCCTCGATAGCTTCTCAAAGATTCTGTTGCTTATATCACAGTCGCTACTCTTGCAATCGAGCAGTAGGGTCTCGCTTATTCGGTACATGGAATACGCGGCCTGTACTTTGCCGGGCCACGCTGAAGGGGTTTCCCTTAAACATCCGTGGGTTGGTGTGGCTTTGAATTTGACAAAAACGTTCTTCGCGGCGCGTGCAAGCGCTTCAAGCACATCCTTTGTGGTGTTTCCCTGGAGGGAAATTTGGCGGAGATCTACATCGAGCCATTTGTGGTAGAGATCGACTTCCAGGAACACAATGCTCGCCGCCTTTCGCATGTTCATCAATTCTTGTTTTGCACACAGCTTTTCTTCTACTAAGTTGACATACCTCAGGCCCTCGTGAACGCCGCGCAGCAATCGTTTTCTGGCAGATGGGTCGATGTTTGGAATAGCGAGCCCGAGGCTTGTTAAGGTCACGATCGGCAGTGCCCAATTGTTCGGAGGTTCTGCAGAATCCAGTGGAGGAACTGCATCGCTGTCAAAACTCATGACCCCTTCAAACGAGCGAGACGGCATCTCTTCCAGGAGTTGTATGAGATGTTTGGGCTGATTTTTCTTCCCCATCTTAATCCAAGACTCGGTGGCGCTGCAGTTGTCCCGCACCATGATATGGACTAATTCTTCCTCGCCCTCAAGATGCAAAACATAACGGCTGAGGTCTGGCTTGAAGACCGAGCCTTCTAGGCGCAAACCGCAGTCCGAGTCCTTGGTTGAAACGCTGGTGTTCAATTTGAACTTGTTCCTCAACTCGCAGCACAAATCGCAGAACAAGAGGATCCGGCTCATGAAGAGAACTGAGATCATCCTCACGACCTTGCTTCCCATCACGATCCCCACTTGTGTTCCAGTAACCATCTCCAAAACCACCCTCTTTGCGTCGTGGAGGAGCTTCCGACACTGCCGGCTCCGTATATGTAAACTCAACGGACGCTTCTTGATCTCTATGAAACACTCTATCCAATGCCTTTCGAGCTTGAATTCATCCTTGTAGCTCTTGTTCCCCCGCTTCGGGCACTTGAATTTGATCGCGAGGAACCATCGGACCGCTGGGGCGATCGTGCCGAGCCCAACCGCAATATTCTGCGCTATGAGAATCACCATGCTTGACCACTTATAGTCCGACTCGCCGTCGCAGAACTTGAACCTCCCGGGCATCAGGTAAGACCGGAGCATCGCCTGCGCCAGAGTCACTGCGCTCAGGAGGCAGAGCGCCCCGGAAGCAGTGCACGTCACGGACCGCCCAACGACGAATTGGGGGTTGCAGGTATGAGCCATCATCCCATACTTCATCAGGTCCTCCTTGAGCTTATCGAAGACTGTCTCGCAACTACGGCTCAAGCTCTCCTTCATGGCCAGTTCGTACTTCTTGCGATACTTCTTCTCCAAGTAGCGCTTCGTCGTCGGGACAATCGCGGCCGACAAGCTCAGCATCACCAGCAAGAGCACCATAAGGAACATCACGAAGGCATGTTCCCTCCTGTACGTGTAGATCACCCCAGTGCCCAATTGCATACATATGTTCACAATTGATGTGATAACAAGAATTGCGAGAGCAATCATGTTGGACAAGAGCTCCTTGTTCTCCATCGCCCCAAGAGAAGGCATCGAATTGGCCATCACGGTGCAGATCAGGACCGAGCTGCTGAGCTTGGCGAGCTGGTCCTGCCGACGCGGCATCGGCGTGTTGAGGTCGACGGACAGCTTGACGGCGACCGCGATGACGCTCAGCGACGTGGCGTTGAGGGCGAAGTAGCGGCTCGGGAACCAGGGCCTCCGGTAGCGGAATCCGACCGCGGCATCCGCGGCCATCGCGACCGCGCAGGCTAAGGAAGCTGCTGCGATGTAGATGCCGATCCAGGGCATGGGCTTGCTGAACTCGGCGTCGTCGACGCTTCCATTGATGCCGCAACCAAACATGATGATGCCCTCTTGTTTCTTGGTGTCGATTCCTCTGTTTCCTTCGAATCCGTTATGCTGCTTTCTTGGCCGTCCGAAGCTCTGGGACTGTGCCTTTGTGTTTAGCTGGGGGGGAAGTTCTTGATAAGAGAGACTCCTGAGGTTCTTGATAAGAGAGACTCCTGAGGATGGTCAGCAAGTTCAACTTCCCAGGTCCACGAACTGGACCTCTTCCAAGTTCCAGCAAGCCCGATAACAATTAAATACCATTTCAAAAGAGACTGCTTCTTCCTTGAATTTCGTGGGGTTGTGGGGACATTACCATTTATTTGGCCATCGCGTGGTTTTTGTTCATTGGCTCTATAGTTAAATAGGAGGATAACGACGTAAATGGTTCATGAATTTTGGCTCGATATAAAATGTGATTCATGAACTTTATCCTAATGTGCAATGTGGCCCCTAAACTTTTGGTATCTATTCAATTCAATCTCGGCACTTTATATTATCCCGGAACTTTATATAATGGAAGAACTATATTGAGTATTTTCATGTAATTCAGGGACTGAAATGAATATGCACCGAAAGTTCAGAGATCACGTTGCATATCAGGGTAAAAGTTCAGGGTCCACATTGAATAAATTAAAAGTCCGGGGGCCACGTTGCATATTGAGCCAAAGTTTATAAATCATTTGTGTCGGAGTCGATATTTCTTGGAGAAGTTTCTGATATTGCAGAAAGTGGCGGGGACTGTGATATCCCACCCGACATCCATAAGCTTAGTGAGCATATCTTCATCTTCTTTTTCCCAAATAAATTAGGAGGGTGGGTGGAGACTGAGAGAGAAATGGTCAAAGATTATAATGGGAAAAGAAAAACGCAATCTTAGTCGTGTGAAAGTTTGGGACAAGGACGTTATACTTGCTACGCTGAGCGAAAACCAGCACCGCGGTCCAACTCTCTTGTCTTAAGACTTGCTGCGGTCGATCGGCTAAAACCACAAAAGTAAACAACGCAAAGGCAATCGCGTTTGGATTTTTTAAAGGGGAACTGAATTAAAACTTTGTCGTTATTCTTTGTCATTATTTGACGTGCAAAAACTCGCTAAAGTCAACACATATGCACGATGGTAGACTTGAATCAAGGGATGCTGGTTTGGATTTTGCAACGATGGTAGACTTGAATTAAGGGATGCTGTTCGGCGTAGATGTGTCGTGGATACCGACTCGCGATTTTTCATGAGACAATGAATCGGTTTGAGATTGAACGTATCACGAGGTACCGGTTGGGGATTGTTCGGGCGAGATGAAAATTGGTTCATAGTAAACGTGCCATGCGGTATCAGTTTTGGATTTTTAATGGTATTAACCATCGATTGTCCGATCGAATACTTCTACTTTCACGAACTTTCTAATGGAGTTCCTCCGACACCAAATCCTACTAAATTCAGCCGACGTGGCCGTTAGAAGACACCAAAGTACGATGCGGATAGGATTATACAGATGCCCACATGGACATGGCGGGAAAAGTGTAGCCAATGTAGACAACGAAACCCACATGAATGTACTTATTGGAAAAATAGTATCCACGTCGCACTATGGCGTTTGCTCGATAAGCACGTCAGATGGATTTTGGAGGATTTAGTATCGGAAGGACCTGATCACAAAATTTGTGAAAGTGGAAATATTTATCGGAAATATTAAAAGTACATAGACTTAATTAGGAAAAGAAAAACGCAAAAGTATAGAAACGAAAAGGAAATTTTATTTTATTTTTTTAGCAAAAAAAAGAAAAGGAAATATTTTTCTTACAATATAGGATACTTTTTTGAAAAAGAAAAAAAGAAGTGACAAAGTAGCAACTTAGTCCGGGCCGGGCCGGGCCGGTCCGGGCCGAGATTCCTCCTGGATTCGGGTTCCCGCTTGATCCGATTGCTATTCTCCCTTCTTCTTCTTCTTCTTCTTCTTCTTCGTCCTCCGCCTCTGCCAACCAGAAAAAACCAAGGAAAACTCTGCTCCGGTGGCCGGAATCTGGTTCTGCTCGCCGGCGGGCATCCTGAGCAGCCGCTAGAGAGAGACTAGGTAGAGAGAGAATGGGGACGAGGACCAATTTCTACAAGAACCCTTCATCCGCTTACAACAGAGACTTCGATCTCTCCTCCGCTCTTCGAAACCTCAAAGGTAAAACCCTTCCTCTCTTCGCTTTCGCCGCTCGATATGATGAGCTACTCTTTTTGCATTGCTTCTGCGGAATCGATCGAAACTTTTTTACTTTACCTCGGCTGCGTACGCGAGCTGATCACGTCGCCGCATCGTGTTTTTTTTTTCGATTCTTCTCATTGCGTTCGTTGCGCGCGTGTGTGCTGGGTTCGCTCGGTCTGTTTGATTCTGAACCGGGTATAGCTTACAACATCGTCACCGGAAGCGCCTCCTTGACCGACGGAGAACCTTCGAGCGACGAGAAAGCCGAACGACGTAAGCGTCGCCGCCGAGGCTCTGAAGCCCCGTGCGGTGGGAGGAGCCGCAGCCGCGGCGCCGCCGTGGAGGACGATCGGCCCATGTCCCACGACGAATACGTGGAAAAGAGGAGGCAATTGTTGGATTTTCTTCCGCGCTGCTTATTCAAGACGCGAACTTTATAGCATCTCTGTTCTTACCGTGTCGAATTGATTGAGCAGGAGAGAAACGGGTGCGGCTCAGGTTTATCAGGAATTGACTCCTGATGTTCTGGTAATTTGCTCCCCTTACAGTTTGGCACCGAGATGGTTTTTCTTAATTACTGACTATTTGGGTTGCTTTCCTTTTGTAGGGGGCTTCGAGTTCGGGTTTGAAATTAGTTGACTATGGAAGTAAGTCCTGCTTGGGATTTGCGGTTGATAGGGATAAACATGTTTCCGAAGCATTTATATGTCGTTGCTCATGGAAGAACTTTATGCCTCTTTCTATACGCCCATGCAAGGTTGCGCATGGGAATATGATATGATTCAGTTTGTCTTTGGTGTTCTAAGAATTACGTTTCAGTATTAATATTATCCCAACACAGATATTGATCACGGTGTCTCGTCGTGAATGTTAATCTTGTATTATTGCCATTCTTGCAGGTGATGGAAGCACTTCTGAAAAAGATGAAGAGAAGGAGACTGAAATTTGTGGTTTGTCTCAAACTCTGTTCTTCTTTCTCCTACACTCTGGTGGCTTGCCAAGAAAATGGAATTTGGCACATAAATCTGAAGTTTCTCAAAGGGTTTTTCTTGCTTTTGGGTGATTGAAATGACTTGAGACCTGTTTACTGTTAGGTCCGTTCCGTAATTGATTTAGTGGTTTCATTAGCTGTGTCATCTACGGGTTCAGGCAATATGCAATACACTTTTGACTTGGTATCTCTTCCGAACGTTCACCTGATGTGCATTTTGTAGTTAATATTGTTGAAGGTGACCAAACCAACACGGAAAGCAATCTAGTTAAGATTAGAAGTGAGCAAAGATTTCCCCTGCCTGGAGAACCGGTTTGCCTGGTGTGTGGCAAATACGGAGAATATATTTGCGATGAGGTGAAATTTTGTAAACTGGAGTTCTGAGAAGTTTCTTATCATTGACATCTGGCTAGATGACATTAAGATGGTGTTTGTTTGTGTTGATAGACTGATGATGATATCTGCAGCTTGGAGTGTAAAGCGGTGCTTTTACGAACTCTTAAATTTAAAGAGGTCACTTTGCTGTTGCCTTTTTTATAAATGATGTTCAAGAAGGGGTCTATGGTTCGAAATTTTGACATATTGATTTTTGTAATGTTGAATTCCAGGATCCCTTGAGCAACCAAAGTCCAGTCACAGCTTCAGCTGAGTTTGTTTCTGGATCAGCTGTGCCTGAAGAAGAAAAGGATGCTTGGGATTATGATCGTCACCGGTGGTCCGATAGGAAATCCGGTCTCTCCACTTATCTCTGGTAAAGTTTGCTAGACCTACTTGTCATTGTTCTTCTCAGTCTAATCCTGGATAAAGAAGAATGCATTTTAAATGTTCCATGCTATGAGAATGGATGCATCTTGTTTAACTCATTATCTTTTCTGGTACTTATTTTCTTTTTGGACCCGTGTACTCCTTGTGGTTTTCAATAAGCAGAGGGAGTAAAGATTTCCTGGATCTTCTTTTTCATGACATGGCCACGTTATATTCCTATCTGTGCTATGTTGCTCTCTAAATCTTTGTTGATTGCAGTACTACCTGTCAGAGACCTGGGCACCTTGCGGAAGATTGCTTGGTGAGTGCCGTATAACCTTGCCTTTCTTGGTTTGATAATCTGTTTTTCAACTTCTTTATTCCTTGTGTGCACTAGCACAACGTGAAAAAGTCCTTGTCATGCAGGTTGCAGCTGGACAAAACAAATCAACTAACATACCCAAAGATCTTCTGGGACTTTATAGAAGGTTTTGAGAATTCTGAATCTGTCTCGTCCTGTTTTCCTGTTATTGTAGTTCTTCTGTTCTTCCCGCCCTCAGTGTATATTAAGGATCACGCAAATTTGTTTCTACTAGTAGTCGAGACACTTTTCTTGAAGATTGGCCAAATTATATGTCAACTGCTGTTGAAACACTCAATTCCTCTCTTCTTTTTCTTTTGCTTTGTGTTCATTCCAGATGCCAGCAAATAGGGAAAAGCTCATCCGCAGCAAGGTGCAATGAATGTCAAACCTCGTTTGGTTTGGCGACTTGCCTTGATTGTAGTAGACTAATATGTGACGGGTAAGTGCATGTTTTTTGGTTAAATTACAGTAGCATCGTAGGTTGCCTTAGTTGCTCGAGTCATCAGTTTGCTTGTTCAATGACCACTTGAGAGGCATTAGGGACAAGAGTTTCTGGCTGGTACATTATTTGTTTCTCTTTAGGGGATATGTTTTGTCTCCTTAATGTTACATTTCCTTTATTGTTTTTGCTGTTGATATTACTTTAAAACGGTGTTTTAGGGGTTGGGGAGCTATTAATTCCATTTTCACTTATTATTACTCTGCTTTGGGACATTTGACGGGGATCTGGTTGGTACTGAACCTATGGGCAGTAATATCATCAACAACTTCTGTTGATTTCTATAAGGGGAAGTTTGTAGCTTGGGTAGCATATGGCAGGATAAGGATGCTCATAGGGACAATGGTCATGTTATGTTAGTGCACTTCGTTTCAAATAAAATATTGTTGAAAGTGGTGACTGACGTAACAGAACTCACAGTAATTTAGGGGATTGATTCATTCTGAAGCCCCATAGAGTGTATTGACATTCAGTTTTTTTCTCAAGTATTTTATGCGCTCACATGGCGTATTTCTCAGTGCAGGTCATTTGGATGAGCACATTAGAATGAATTCCTCTCACCGGCAGTATTATTCTCACAAGCTCAAGCGTCTGGTTAGGATTTACTTGCTCCTTCATCTAGTCTAGTTGCAACGATTTCTCAATCAGTCAGTTTAGTGATTTACACATGCTGTAGTTATATTTATAAGTTAACTATTTGGAAGATATCCTAGATTTTCCCCAAAGAGTGGCTCCCAGCTTATAAATAAATTAATGATGTCAACAATGTGCCTGCTTCATTGACAAGTAGTCTGAGATAAGTCACCTTCAGATTATAATCCTTCACACTGCACGAAAATGATTAAAAGAATGTGCTGCTTCATTAAACAGGTAGTCTTGACATAAGCCGCCATATTTCTCTGCATTGCACAAATCCATGAGGAAGCTTTGGGATTTTAGTGTGCATCTCCAGTCTCTCAGATTACTTCTTTTCCTTTGTGCAGGTGAAATGCAGTAAAGCAACATGCAAAGTGACAGATATATCTGATCTTTTGGCTTGCCATTACTGTTTTGACAAAGCATTCGACAAATTTTATGACATGTGTACTGCAAGTTGGTACGTGGCCTGTGTTTTTTTTAATTTTTTGCGTCAGATAATTACTTTAACTAATATAAATTGCTGGGGAAATTCTACGAGATGGGTCGGCCAAGTTGGGATTGGTTGGGGGGTTTATACAGTAACAGGTGATAATTTCCCACTAGGGTATTCTATATTACGCAAGAAGTTCTTCAGTAGCCGGGTCCATTTAGCATGCCTTCTGATCAAAGATATTGAATGTCCAATTAATGCTCCGTCCAATCCAGGAAAGGAGCAGGACTTGCAATTATACAAGGGTCTATTAGCTGCGAAGATCATTTTTCATGGTGAGACCAGTAGCGCTCGATTTTTCTTCCTGGAAAGTTTATGTAAAACCCGATTGATTAATTTAGGACCTGTCAACAAAACCAGGCACAGAATGAATTGTCCAAATGCTGGTGCAGAAGATAGTGCATATATTGTCAGTAGGCATCCTCAAAGGGGAAAGCATGTTCAGATCAGCGAATTCATTTTCTGATCCTTGGCGGGGGAAGAAACCTGGTATTGTTTGATTGCCCGGTCCTGGTACAGCTATTTATGGAGAGAGAGCTGCCGGTGCGACTTCAACGTCCTGGGTTTGCAAGTCCGGAAGAGGCGTTGTCGATGGAAGAATGATCTGACCATTGATCAGCTAGAATCAGAATCTCCGACTTGTATAGTTGTTCATCGATCCCTATTGGTTTGTGGAGGACGCTAGCTACGGCATGTAGGGGGGCTTCATGTTTCCCAGTTGATTAAATCCATCAGCATTCTTCTTCTTCTTCTGAATGTTGATGTAGTGTGCAACACCTAAAAGAGAAAACAACTTGCTGTGAATTCCATGGCTCATGGTTATAGTGACTGTTTTACATTGATCACTGTATTCATCTCTGTGAAGTTGTTTTCGGCAACGCCTCAAGGTTTTCTAATCTGCTTATCTGTGCAATTCTTTCCACATCTTTCATTGGCAATTAATTCCGTTATTATACCGAATAATGAAAAATCTACTAAGCTCGTCGGAGCACAGCAGGAGTTGTCAATCCTCACTTGACGTCCGATGAGGGTCACCAGTCTTCGTACGTTCTGGCACTCCTTCCCTTCTCCCTCCTCTCTCTCTCTCTCGTGCAATTTTATTTTCTTCCTTTTCGTATGTCGATGCATGTCATGCCACATTAATACGTTGGCGTCGGCGATAAGATTTTGCCTTGTTCAAAAGGGCAAATTGAAAAAGTGGTAGGCAAGTAACTTAAAGATCAAAGTAAATTAAAGGAACCGAGTTCATCAATAAATTGGTTTAAGGAACTTAACTGAGGGGGGGGGGGAAATGCGGCAATTTAGTACGTGCTGGCATTATCCAATCTTCGTACGTGCTGGCACTCCTTCCCTTCTTTTGAGGGGGGAAATGCGGCCCAACTGCACAAAACCCAACACTAATGGATTACATGAATTAACATTACATCAACATAATTTAGTTTCCAAGTAAAAAATAAGGAACATAAATTTTTTCCCCAAAAGAAAAACAGGAGAAATGAAATACAAAAAAAAAATGAAAATAAATAAATAAATGGATAATGACACAAACAGTCCATGAACTTTGACCTAATGTGTAATTTGGTCCCTAAACTTTTAATTTGTTCAATTTAGTCCCTAAACTTTAGTCTAATATTCAATTTGGTCCCTGAATTTTGAATTTGTTCAATGTGATCCCAGAACTTTTGATACATGTTCCATTTAATTCCTGAACTATATAAAAATATTCAATGAAATCTTTTCATTAATTCAAGTTGATGGATCACATTGAACATTTTCATCTAGTTCATGGACTAAATTGAACATGTACCAAAAGTCCAAAGATCATATTGAACAAATTAAAAATTCAGGGACCACATTGAATATTTGAAATAAGTTTAGGGATTATATTGAATAAATTAAAAGTTCGTGGATCAAATTGAATATTGAGTTAAAGTTCAAGGACTCTTTGCATCATTTTCCCATAAATAAAAAGTCGGCCTTGGGATCGGTTTGTTCTTTCGGATCGCTACGTCGGCGTCTGAATACAACCGAAATCGCTTCCTTTCCTTTCCTTTCCTTTCCTTTCTGTGCAGCGCAAAGAGAGAGATCAAAAAGACTCCGCCTTGGTCGAGGAAGGCTCGATCCCATCGACCTCCATCCTCGGTGGAAGAAGCCCTGAAACGAAGAAGTCTTCTCCCGCCTCTCTTCTCTCTCCGATCTCGCGCCTCTCTTCCGCATCTCTCGGCTCGCGGAGCGACGAGGTAATCGCGCTTTCCCACCTCTCTCGGCAGCGCGGTCGTTTCAGTTGGTTCTCTGCTTTGTCGTCGGAGTAATCGGCTGAATTAGTGTGTGTTTTGGGCTCTTCTTGTCCATTGGGGATGTGGGTATGGCTGATGAATAGCTGAGGAGGGTTGGGTTTTCTTTTGTTTCCTTATCTTTCGAATCGTTTGTTTACCTGTTAACGTGGCTCTTTCCACCTCTCGGTAGCGCGTCGTTTCTGTTGATTCTCTGCTTTTTCGTCGGAATAATCGGCTGATTTAGTGTGTGTTTCGGGCTCTTCTTGTCTAATGGGGATGTGGGTGGGGCTGATGAATAGCTGAGGAGGGTTTTTCTTTCTGTCTTTCGAATTGTTGTTACCTGTTAACGTGGTGCTTCGCCAGCCCAGAATTGGATTTCATCAGAAAGGAAAGCCTATTGCTTCCGACTTTAGATGTGCCTAATCCTATGGCCTCTCCGTCTGATTGCTTGATCCTTGGTTAAACTAGCATGCGTTGGCATGCAATTGGTGCTAGATTCTATTGCCCGCGAAGTTGCCAGGAGTTCGCTATTGGAATGTACTGATTCCTCACGCCACTCGGTTTTGTTATTTGCGCGTCCTCACCAGGAGATGCTTTTTATTTTCCCCGCGCTTAGCTGTTTGTGGATTTGCCCGACAGCAAGAATATTTGCCTGCTTTTCTTCATATTTAGGATTGTCTTCTGCTCGTGCATTCCATTCCTTCCTGTTGAAAAAGCCCGGGTTTGTGACGTTTTTAGGTTTTTGAATTATGCTTGTGCATTTATTAGCGAGATTTAAGTACATTCTCGTTCATTGATGGCCGTGGCTCCAATGGAAGTTAACTTGTTATGGGGCTGCTTGTGTGATGCTTCGTAAATTTTGCCTAACCGTAAGATGGTTTTTTGGATGTGGTCTTTGAAATGCACTAAATTCTATCGTGCATGATAATCTCAAGGTAGCACGGCAACATGGGCGGTCATGGTGGTTTGAACATCCTTCCCCAGAAACGTTGGAATGTGTACAATTATGAAAACAGAGAGAAGGTCCGGCAAGATGAAGAGGCTGCTGCGAAAGAGGAGCAGCTTAAGCAAGAGCAAGTGAGGAAGCGTGATGCTGAGTTTCGTCTCGAGCGGCTTCGTGCTGCCCGTGGCTTGGCTTCTGCCAGTCAACCTCCTGCTAGTCAGCCTGCGGAGGCTCCTGCTATTCAGCCTGTGGAGGCAGCTGAGACTGAGAAGAAGTCTGGCCATATCAATCTCTTTGAGGGAATTAAGATTTTCGACCCGGTAGATGCACCAAAAACTGGGGCAGGAGATGAAAGGGATGGATTCAAGAGGAAGAAGATGAAGAAAGAGGAGGCGCCGAAGGTGGTAACCGCAGAGGATGAGAAATATAGGTTGGGATATGGGCTTGCTGGAAAAGGAGTTAAATTGCCATGGTATCTTGAGAAGCGGGGTGATCAAGATGACGGAGAGAAATTTGGGGATGAAGAGTCGCCAAGGGATGCAAAGGAGCAGAGAAAGAAAAGTGGGAAGAAGACGTTGGAGGAGTTGAGGGAGGAACGGTTAAAGAGAGAGAAGCAGGAGAAAGAAAGGGTAAGGAAATTGATACTAGAGAAGAACCGAAAGGATGGAGCTCTGTCGAAAGCCAAGGGTTTTCGGAGGAGGTGACGCTGCAAATTTTGGTCAGTTCAGACTTTTGTTCGTACTTATATGTTGTGGAGACCTTGCTTTATGGCTGATTGGGAGAGCCTGGACTGCTATTGGTTTGGCAAGATTTGGATTCCAAGTCCTGTTTTGAGAGGTTCCCGCTCCCCTTGTGCAGTTCGCCAATCTACATATGCCTTGCGACATAGCTCCTGTAGACACGTGAATGCTTCACTTCGAATCCTCTTCAAGAAAGAATGGGCTGTGGTTCGCCTTTGCTTTTCAATCCTGGAGATGATCATTGGATAATCTGCTGTCACTGTCAGCATCAAAGCTTGTGAATGTCTATTCCTTTCAGTTTGGCTTTCTTGTTCATTATGGCATTATGTTGGAATGATATCACTTTGATCCTTATGCAAGTTATTCGGTTTTTGTCACTGTCTATGACTTCATATCGACTTGTGAATTCCTGGGTGCAAGTGGGGAAAAGGGTTGTTGAGCTGTCACCGGCCCTTGAATACTTTTTTGCTGGTTTAATGCTAATTCTCAACTTCATCATCATCTTACTAAACACATTTCACAAATAGATTTGTCAATAACGTTGCAGAGATCCGATTCAGTCTATTTCATCATGTAAATCCCAGAATTCTCGACTGAATTGGGTCTTAAGAAACTGATCCACTGGTCTTGACAAGTCTTGGCTGAGATTTGCTTGGTTAATGGTCCCAACAGCTTCTGAAACTCCTTGGAAACTATAAGTTTTGGTTTGCACTTTTATGATGCAAAAGCTAATATAATAATTCTTGTAGTTATGTCTTAATAAGAAAGGGACGAAGGAAGCTGTTTCAGATAAGATCCGAAGAAAACATGAATCTCTAGAGTCGTAAACAGCATGCGAGGGACGTGGGCGTCGTTCTTGGTGGCTGCGGCGATCCCCAATTGGCGCAAAAGGAGCCATCGCTCTCTTTTCTATGGCAGGCTTAGCTCACGCAAGAGGTTGTTAAAGTGAAGAAGACCGAGTCTGCAACAACTCACTGTTTAACGAATATTTAACAAGAGATGAACCATGCCATGACGATCTCTTGATAGCTGACTAGGCCTAATCTGAATAAATTAATCCCTTCTCTTCGAGTCAGACATGGGTTTCTTATTGTTTAAATGGAGTCGAGGATAATAGTGGGCAGAAATGAAATGGGTCATTTGCGTGTTCTAGGCTGGAACGACAACATTGCTGAGTACAAATGGTATGCGACCGAGAAAAAGAGTTGTTTCTTCCATAGAAGGGATGAAGAGTTGAAGAAACAGGGCAGGGAACGGGTGAAGCAGAGCATGGGATTGCCGTTTAAGAGTCGAATGAAGAAACTCCCGCGGCAATGTCTACTGAATTACGAGAACTTGACGCTTCCTCCGGTAGGTGACCGTCGGAAGATCAGGCCGTTTATTTGGTTGTTAACATGTTCTTTTACCTTTTGTTCTTTGCGGTTTTGATTTTGTTCGTCATTGACGATCCCTTTTTCAATTTTCTTGTTTTTACTTTTCAGGTTTGTTAAGTACTATGGAATCCATGGGATTTCCTAGTACCCATTAATTCATCTTGGCTTGATAATCTGATTTCTCTGTGCCCGCAATAGCATTGCATGAAGTAAACTTTTATAATCAGATTGAAGGATTGATTTCAGCTAGTTCCTTTGCTTAGTTTCAGGTAGTAGTGATGACAGCCAACATCGGATGCGCTCGTTGTCAGGACAGAGTCTCGCAAGTCATTTCAAAGATGGACGGTGAGATGGCTGTACTCAGTTTCATCGCTTCATTTTACCGTAGAAGCGAACAATCATTGAAAGATAATCATGAATGAGAAAACTCCTCTTAACACAGGCGTTCGTACGAATGGACTCATCGCATGAATGCTCGCGAATAGGTGCCTCTGGTGAGGAAAAGTATAGAAAAGATTGAGCTCAACAGATTTGCATCGACTCATCGCATGAATGCTCGCGGATAGGTGCCTCTGATGAGGAAAAGTACAGAAAAGATTGAGCTCAACAGATTTGCATTTTACAATTCCGTCGAGATGAATGAGCGATGCCCACGCCCATTGAGTAGTCATAGTATATAGCTGCGTCAGATGTTGAGAGTGGAAGTTTTTTAAGGAGCTCGCGTTGTGATTTGCAGGAGTGCATGATTATACAGTAGACATTCGAAATGAACAAGTGACTGTAAAGGGGGATTTCAAGGTCGAAAGGACGGCGCAAATCGAGAAAGATGGTCATCAACTCCGTCTCTTAAGATACTTCAGAATCAGTTGCTTAAGCAAGCACCTTGGCCATCGAACGTAATTTTCATTCGTGCACATTGTGTGGTAGCAAATCGAATTTACTCGCCGTCACAGTTTGTATATCCAGTGAAACACAGTATAAATTGACGCTTCCCTCAAAACAGAGCAATTGCACATGCACATGCACATGCACATTCTAGGTTGCAAATGACAAAGATCACCGCAATTTCTGCGTGGAAATTTCCAATTCAAGATCAGTCCTTTCTAATTCGCAATGCAAAGCATTTCCAGCTCGAACCAGGACCCGCCTACAATTCGCTCAAAATTACGACTCCGCAAAGAGAAAAGCAGATAAAATGCCACAGTTGATCCGCTCTAAATCTCCCTGCTTGACTGGAAGTACCATCTTTGCTCTTTCCAGAGCAAAATTCCAAGATCCATTGCAAACGACCATCAGTTATATAGGACCAACTCGGCATGGAAAACACGTAAACGGCGACTTACTCGGTTAGTCAAATTCCTCCGATTTTCATTGAAGAAACATATCATCTGTCAAGGCTTTACAAAAAGACAGGACTCCAAACTCATCAAGAACCCAAGCAAGCGGAAGAACACGCATCATCTTGCTTCTCTTATCTATTATTTTCTAAAGAGTCTTCACTCGAAACACCAGACACAACTTCACTGCTAGAGAAAAAAAGGAAAAATGGCACCTTCACCCCCAAGAGGAATCCCCTGTGTTTGAATTTCTCAGCATTTCACTCAATCTTGACCTGGAAAACATCCTTCCTCTCTTCTTCCTTCACCTTGGGGACTGCCACCTTCAACACACCGTTCTTCATCTCCGCCTTGATCTCCCCGAGCTTGTACAGGTTCGGCGGCAGATCCAGCCTGCTCGAGTACCGCCTCCCGCTCTCCTCCTCCACGGACTCCTTCTCGCCCTCGCCCTTGATTGTCAGGGTGTTCTGCTCCACGGAGACCTTCACATCCTCCCTGCTGAGGCCGGGCATGTCCATCCGGAGGTAGAGGGCGTCCTCATCCTCCTTCACGTCCCAGCCCCTCCTCGATCCGGCCGCTCCCACGCCACGCGATGCGGCGAGGAACGGGTTCTCCACGAACTGGTCCATCAGGTTCAGCACCTGGCTCAGGCTCCGAGTCGTCGAGAACGGATCGAATACATCTGTTGAACAACTCGGCAATACCATAGACATGAGGACGCTTCACTAGGCAGAAGTACATCGAACAGAAAGCTACCTCATAAAATTATCCATGCTCGATCAGGTCCGACGCACTAATTAACCAGGATTATATATCTAAGAGAAGCAGCGAGGATCGATTGTAAACAAGCTGTCCTGAAATGTTGATCATTGCGTACGTAAACGCTACTAGGATAGCGCAGAAACGTCATTTGCAGTGAGATGGACCTATATCATAGCCAAAACCCCTAATCAACCGAAATGGAACCGTCATATTCAGGTTCAGAACCGACGTCCACTCATCCATAGGACCATAACAAAGGAAACAGAGTCACAATCAACCAGCTGACGACCTCATCATCATCGCGACACGCAGCTATCGCAAACATCAGCGAAACGAAAGAGACGACACACTACCTGAAAACAGACCAGGCTGGTGGCGGCAGAAGACGGAACGATCGGAGCGGCGGGAGAGGTCGTCGCCGCTATCGCTCGCGTCGACGTCGTTGTCGTCGTCGTAGCGCCTCATCTGAGAGCTGGTGTTGAAGGACCGAGCCACGCCAGGGGCGACGGAGGCCGCGCGGAGCGGGTAGGCCAGCCTGGGGAAGACGCTCGAGGCGGCGGCGGCGGCGGCGGCGGCCCTCCGGAGAGCGAGCGAGGACGCCATTTTCCGACGATAGCTCGGGGAGCTCTTTCGCACGTCGGCCGAGGCGCAGGGACGGAGAGAATTCGCGACGGTTTCAGCCGTGATTCCGTCAGAAGGCGTTGGTGAGGGGGGTTTAAATAGCAGAGGGGATGGCGATGCTTGGGGAAGGGGGAAAGACAGATAGAGAGAAGAAGAAGAAGAAAAGTGGAGAAGGTTCGGGAAGGGAGTCGAAGTGAGAGAAGCTTCTGGAGATAGAGAATATCGTTGGCGGTAATATATGCTTTTTAGCAACTTCTTCAGGGTTCGAGTTCTTTTGGAGATTCGAACGATTCTATTAAAAATCGGGGGGCAATTTGAACAATATCGAGTGAGCGACAAAAGATGAAAATGTAACTCGATTTCTGTCAGCCAAAGTTGGAATTTTACCTGTATCGTTAAAGAATTTGCTGCTCTATGTAAAAGTCGTTAAAACAGTAACATGTGAAAGTTACTCGAATGTGCACATCGATTTATTAAACATTATAGGGTGCGCGATATAGGACACATGACACAACCAAACCAGCCCACTCATTGGCCCGATACGCACACGAGGCCACAGCTAGCTATTAGGGGTGAGCATGATCCGGGCGAGCGGTTCCGACCCTAGAACCGGAAACCGTCCACTAAGGACCGGTTCCAAAAAATTAGAACCGAGAACCGCATGTTGATTTCATGAATCCACCCCGGAACTGGACCGCCGAAGACGGAGACGGAGAGTCAGAGACAATAAGGTAAACATCGATCGAAAAGAGTAAGAGAGTGAGAGTGAGCGCGAAGCAAAAGCGAAAGAAGTGTTTCTCGGCTCAACGTGAGACTGTGAACGTCAAGTGATTTTGGTTTAATTTAGGGATTTTTTTATTTTTTAAAAAAAATTAAAAATTAAATAAATATATTATATTATATTATATTTATTATTATATTATCGATCCGGTCCGAGTGGGTGGGCGGGCGATTCCATACCTAGAACCAGAAACTGGACTGGTACCCACCGGTTCCCAAAAATTGGAATCGGATCTAGTTAGTTCCAGGCGATTTTCGATTCTTTTGCATACCCCTAACAGCTTTGTAGCTTTCTCTCTCTCTACTTTTAGACGTGCTAGAAGTTTTTAGCCATGCCAATGCTAGTATTTGGTCAAAGAGATCCCATAAGTGTTTGTCAAACGCCTAGAATTTTTCTCACAGGCTTTGGAGGCCGAAGGCACTTCTTAGGATGCGAATGATAACCATTCTGTTTCAGAAACAATTCCTGGAACATAAATAAGTTTTTCTATTTCTGTTCCCAGGATGAGTTTCTGAGGAAAGAAACCCATTTGATAACAACCAAAAATTTCTATTTCTGGAATAGAAACCCGTTTGATAATAGTGTAAAATTTCTATTTTTTGGAACAGAAACCCATTTAATAACAATACAAATTTCTATTTCCCAGAACAGAAATCCATTTTTTTAGAAATGGTCTCTAAAATAAAAATCAATCAAAACACCCAAATCCTAGTAAAACCTTAAAGGCTTATTTATTCAAACGATTGTGCTGTTTTTTAGGGTTTTTTAGGGGTAAAGACTCCTTTTGGGGTTTTTTAGGGGTTAAAACCCTTTTAAATCCCTAAATTAAGGAGTCTTCAAAAATATCATTTGGGCACCTCAAAAAATTTAAATTTCATTCAAAGTGGGTGGTCATAGGTATTCTAAGCTATTCTGTGAAGTTTTGAAATTTTTGATTTTTTGATTTTTTTTGAAAAAATTCACCAAATTTCCTATTTTCAAAATCTAACTTTTTTTTATTTTTTGGAATTTTTTATGAATCTTTTTGGAATTTTTCAATTTTTATGGATTTTCTGAAAAAAAAAATTGAGATTTTTAGGAATTTTCCGGATTTTCTAAATTTTTTATGAATTTTTTGATTTTTTCTAATTTTTTTTAGATTTTTTTTATTTTCTCTCCGGGAATGAACCGGAACGAATCGGTTCGGATCGGTCTGACCAGGTCAGACCGATCCCAAATTTAGGAAGAGATGTGTTTTGAAGAGAGAAGACAGGTTCTTTTAAAAATGATTTTCATTTCTCGTCTAGAAACAGAAAACCTACTCTCTTTTTTTCTGATTTTTGGTCCAGAAATAGAAAAATGGAATTGCGTTATCAAACGGGTTTCTGTTCCAAACCTATTTTCGGGAACAGAAAATTAGTTCTGGACAAAAATATAATGGTTATTATTCACGCCTTTAGCGTTCTCTTAGCGTGGGAAGAAGACCATCTGTCAGTACCTGGTGGTAGGGGTGTCAATGGGTCGGGTCGGGTCGGGTCGGGCTTTCCTGATACCCGACCCGAAATGTCCTCGTCGGTTTCATGCCGCTCGATTTTCTGAAAATTTTTATGAATCTTTCTGGAATTTTTCAATTTTTATGGATTTTCTGAAGAAAAAAAAATTTGAGATTTTTAGGAATTTTCCGGATTTTCTAATTTTTTTATGAATTTTTTTATTTTTTCTAATTTTTTTTATAATTTTTTTGATTTTCTCGCCGGGAATGAGCTGGACCGAATTGGTTCGGATCGGTCAGACCAGGTCAAACCGGAGCCAAATTTAGGAAGAGATGTATTTTGAAGAGAGAAGACAGGTTCTTTTAGAAATGATTTTCATTTTTCGTCTAGAAATAGAAACTTACTCTCTTTTTTTTCTGATTTTTGGTCTAGAAGTGGAAAAATGAAATTGCGTTACCAAACAGATTTCTATTTTAAATCTATTTTCGAAAATAGAAAATTAATTCTAAATAAAAATATAATGATTATCATTCGCTGCCTAGCGTTCTCTTAACGTGGGAAGAAGACCATCTGTCAGTACCTGGTGGAGGTTACACCAACGTGTGGAATGGCTGGTAATCCTTCAAAAGTCCATCCCCGGAGAAACTGAGAAGGTCGTAGAGACTTTGGACAAAGACCGAAAGTCCTAGTCACCACCCCGAGTGTTCCCTATTTTATTCCCCTCCTTCCACGTACTCTGCCTCCTTCCGTGTCAACTCTGTGTTTCTTCTGCGTGTTTCCTCTTAAGTTCCTCCTTGTACCTTATTGAGGTGGGTTGATTTCTGGGTATTTTTGTCTGTCGCCATCTGGTAATTGCTATGTGGTTTTTCTATGATGATTGTTGTCAATACCCCCAGCTCATCAGACCTAAACCTTAGAAGTCCAGGACTACCCATCTGAGACCTAATCATTGCTGATTTGGGGTCTGAAACTGAATTGAATTCCTTTGGGTAGGTAACAAGTTCAAGAGCAGTTTAGCACTTTATGTTCTCCAACCTTCCCCCTGAAGAAAGAGAGGAGGAAAATGATCCCCGTGATGTTTTTAGTGTGTGAATCATGCATGGTAAGACAGTGCCATGATTCTTTTGTTGAATGCTGAGGGAACGTCTCTCTCTCCTCTTCTCTCCTCCCCGCTTCTCTTCTCTTCTCTGGGTTTCTCCAACATTTTGTCTCTGGCTTGTTTTAGCTTTCAGTTTCCATTTCAGTTTCATTCATCCACTCCCAGTACTTAAAATGCACCGGGAATACACTTTAATGGCAAGTTTCAGTCATCAAAGCAGAGCAAGTCATCAGAGACCAAAAACCTTAAGAGGTCCAGGAAAAGATTTAGCTGTTACAGACACCAATCTGAGACCTAATTATTCAATGCTGATTTGGGGTCTGTAACTGAATTGAATTCCTTCGGCAGAGACTTTCGGAGAAGAGTGAGAGGAGGAAAATGTACCCCCTGATGTTTGTGTTTGTGAATCCATGCATGCATGCTAATGTATAAATGACTCTACCATGATTCTTTCCTTCCATGCTGCGGGAACCTCTCTTCTCTGGGTTTCTCAAACATTGTCTTGGATTCTTTTTACCTCGTGAAAGTTAAGGAATTTCGTCCGAAGAAATGAGATTTGAATAGAATTTTTAGCATATCTTACAGAAAAGAATGTCATCCCCGTTCTGACTGTATCTGCAAAAATTTACAAATTTCCTCCACCACAGCTTCAACACTTACTTACATAGAAAGAGCTTAGAAAATAGCCCATCTCTCATTTTCAAACGTTTGACCATCCACCACGCTTCTCTGACCCATTTGCCACCGTGGACCACACGTGGGTCCACTTCACGCTCGAAAGAAGAAAAGATCCAAGATCTTCGAGCCGAGACGGACGAAGTCAACTCAACCCCAAGCGCACGTCAGCCCTGCCGGAGGCTGTCCCACATCGACGCGCACTGTCTCCGGGCGAACCCCACGCGCCTCCCCTCCAGGTCATAAACCACCTCAAACCCCTGCTGCTGGTAGTTCCCCAGCGTCGCCCCGGGCCCGCCCCCCATCTCCGTCGCGTCCCCGCCGTCCATCATCATCAGGCACCCCACCCGCCTCCCCTTATCCCCGCCGTCCACGAACTCGTAGAAGTAGTTCCCCCTGGGCATCGCCACACCGGATCCGCCCCCGAAGCGGAACGCCACGTCGGCCACCCTGACCCCGGCGTCCACGTAGTAACACAGGCTCAGCCCGGTCCTGTCCTCGACCTCCCTCGCTCGCCGCGAGTTGACTCGCCCGAGCTGGCGGTCGAATTCGGCCGCCACCGAGCTGAACAGCCCCGACGGCAGTATCGTGAACGTCGTCCCCGAGTCCACCACCACCCCTCCGTCGCCCTTCCCGTCGATCCTCCTCAGATTTTCCGGCGCCGGGATGAACCTCTTCCCGACGGAGATTCCCTCCAGCCCGACGGAGTAGAAGTACGGGCTGTTCGGGCTGTCCAGCATCGGCGTGTACGCGAAGTCGCTCCCGCCTTTTCCCTCCGAGCTCTTCTCCTTCACATCGTAGCGACCGAGGATGAGCGGGCTCGGGCGGCGGACTCGGTCGGCGTCGAAGGAGTGCGAGACGAGGCAATACGAGAACTGAGCGCCGAGCTGGGGTGACGACGCGGCGAGCTGGGCCGGAAGCGAGAGTGGGCCGCGGCCGAAGCCGGCGACGCCGACGGGCTCGGCAAGGGCGGTGTGGGCACAGCCGAAGGTGAAGTTCT